AATGCTTACATACATACATATTATCACAACAGCATCAGTGAAAACTTAAGCAGTCGAGCTCTGGCACCCATTGTAAGATTTAACTTGAGTCATGGGTACCAGTTCTTCTCACAGTTGTAGACTTATGATAAGACGCGTATGCGCGTGCGTGTGTCTCTTTCTGTGTCTTGTTTTGTGTGTGTGTGTGTGTGTGTGTGTGTGTGTTTAATTTCTCGAAAAGGTCTTATCTTCAGTTGAATAAAGTTTCAGAGAATAAAGCTAGGATAGCACTTATAAGAGTTCTATGAAACATACATAAGCGATGAGACTTTGTATCTATGTCATGTCATGTTATGTCAGTTGGATTTAACAGATTCTGTTTTCATACTTGTGAAATGGTTTCATGTGTGAAAAAAAATTAATGACGAAAGCACACGCATTAATCTATCTCTGGGATAAGGCTGCATGTGGTCGCTCTTACTCTTTCGCATCTATATTTACATCACCTCAGTGAACTACTGAACACAGTAATGATCATAATTTTTTAAATAGTTTTTCTAAACCAAACTGCTCCTAACTTTTCATTTTGAATAAGACTAAATAAGTCAGTAGGAACCTTTTACAATTTGTACTTCATTGTCAACCGATTTTCTTTTAACGAGTTTTTGTGCTATCGACAAAAAATACTGTTTTTTTTTTCGCTTACTTTCAAAAGAATTTCAACCTCGGTAACCCTTAATCTTATATATAAAAATGAATTTCTGATCGTTAGTCTTACTAAAACTCGCGAATAGCTGGACCGATTTGACTTATTTTAATTGTGAAATATTTGTGGAAGTCCAGGAAACGTTTAAACAGTGAGAAAGTATGGAAAAAATGCGAGGAAAATAGTAAAAACAACAATTTTTATGCCCGTAAAATTTGTTTGTACCTGTAAAACATTAAAATTTGATGTTCTTTCTGTATCGCGTCGATATCATTCACTCGGGTTTAGATTTAAAAATTGCACAATATTGTCACTACTACAAAGATTTGACATATTTGTAAGTGATCAAATAATTGTATTATATACTCGTATATGTAGGTGATACAAAGTTCACCGGTTCATCTAGTTTTATATAAAACTGATCGAAAACAAAAATCTATGATTCACATCTGATCTATGTTTACCATAATAATATCGACGTGTAAATATAAAATAATACTAACATAGTATGCTATTTAGTACACTATAATCTTGACTTTCTCTCTAACCCGTCATTATATTAAATACGAAATAATGTGTCATCACCAAAATTGCATCTCAATAAGGTCGAAGGTACCCCAGGAAGTGCATTGAAACTGAACTTCAAATTTACAACAGAGACAAGATCAAAATAGATGCAGGTTAAATAAAGCTAAGCAACCCCTTATCTTAAGGACTTTTACACATATAAAACAAAATCTAAATAAATTGAATGTGAATATTGCAACAACCGACTGTTATAGACTTTTATACTAAACTAGCGGACCCGACAGACGTTGTCCTGTCAAATTTGACACTGCGATGGAAGCGCCGTCTGTCGGATCCAATGTAAAACATTCCAAAATCAACAACTACTAATAAATTAAAAATTAATAAAAAAAACATTGTCCAGCGGACAAAATTGTGAATCTAAACCATTCCCAGATCCCCTTGAACACACACAAAAAATTTCATCAAAATCGGTCCAGTCGTTTGAGAGAAGTTCAGTGACATACACACTCACAGAAGAATTATATATATAAAGATTTACACAGACATATATTTATTTTGTGCTGTGAAATCTGTCAAGATTTCTGATCTCACTGATAAATTAAAAGGCTGAACAATAAATACACACTATAGATAGACATATTTATTACTAATACTGTTGTATGTAGGTATTATATCTAAATAAATGTTTTAGGTATGTTGCTTTCAAAAGACTGATGTAGTCCAACAGCAGAAGTTGTAACCTGTAACATAAAATATTTGTATCTATCATTGCCTTAACATAATCACACGTTTAGGACCAATGACAATATGATTAGCCAGCACAGATTAACGTTCTCTACACTGAACTTAAGGAAATATATGTATGATATGTATGTAGAGGGCGGCACTATACTGGAGACTTTTAGTGGCCTCTGGACCGTTGCCAACAATTTGTCTGGTGGTTATTTTCTCGCGTCATCCACGACTAACAAAACATCTACCGATACAGTTTTCTATATCTCCTTAATCAAATTACATTCTGTAAAAAAAAATATCTTTGACAATGCGTATGTAATCATTCACACAGCGCTATTATATTCCAACAAGCATTTAAAACCCGTTCGTAATACAACTATAATAAAAATCACTAAACCGAATTGCACGCAAGTAACTCTATTAAAATACCCTTTGTCTAGTATTCATTATCCCCCTGTCTAGTTTCAAATTCTTTTGTTGATCGTAGTCGTTGCATGGATGCATGAATAAATTGTTTTTGAGAGCTCGGAACAAACTGGTAGGTCAAGATCCCTTTCTCATAGAAGACTTCTTTGTGCGATAGTAAAAGGCGTTCGCTATTAAAGGGCTCCGGATCGGGTAAATTCTGGATTAGTGGCAATGAGTAGTTATTATTTAATCTATGCGGTAGAATAGCTGGATTTACTGGCGAGGGTTTACGTTGTATTAGAAGCCTGTCCATACTACTTCGTACATCATGTCTGCTTATTGTTGCGTGTTTGCAAAAACTTACACTCTCAAATGTGTGTCCTGCTGCTGTGCGTGCTCCCTGTTATTGCCCTAACACCCCGCCTTTCTCTTGCGCCTTGAAACACTGAACCGCAACCTGGTTAAGGCTTGGCCTGTTTTAAAATTCTTTTTAAAATTTTGATAACTGATTATTTAACTAAGAAGAATTATTGAAGTTTTAAATCATGGTGTGTGGCCAATTTATTTCTTGAGAGTACTCCGTCAATCTAAAATTGTAATTCAAAGTTCATTTGTTATGGAATTATGCTTATTTTCATAATGAATTAAATTGTGCGGTTGATTTTGTGTGATATTAACATGAACGAAACCGCGTTTTATTAGGTCACGTTTAAAAAATCTTTTTAACCCTAAAAAAACTTTTATCATTAGTGCAGTTATTACTTAAAAGTTTATTGCTTAAAAGCCGCAAGAATAAGAGCGTCTGTTCGCACTGCAGAACAGCACTGGGAATAGATAATTTGTTTTTTTTTTTCACCAAACACTAAATATGTTACCATTTTAAATATCCAATATGAATTTATTCAAAAACATGTGCGAGAGCTCAAAAGAAAGAATATCTAAAGGCATAAAGTGTGTTATTAGAATGACCAAATAATATTGTTATATTACGAGCTTTGTGTTTGGTGAGGGCACGGGCGGCGTCCATTGAGCCGCGACCGATGCGCATAATGAGATGCAGTGCTCCTCCAGATGTGGCGCAGGCGCGGCCCCGACTCACTGCCATTTTTTGTCTTCCCCTTTTTTGCCATTCCAGTAGATGAACGCTTTAGCAATGTTTGGGACTTGCATTCATCGTCCGAGAATTTATGATACCGAGCTTAAATAAACTCGAGGAAAAAAATATAAGTTTTCTTGAAAGAGTAGTAATAGTTTTGTAAGATATAACTATACAGAAAAATATAGTCTAGAACCTACACAATAAATCCTTTTTCATATAAATAACATCCGAGGGACCTATAAGAATATGTTTATAGCATGTGTAGTTGTATCATTTACAACCATTCTACCGAAAAATTTAAGTTTTATTTAGTTAAATCAATTAAATAAAGCAACAACTAATGTCTTGATATATTAAAATATATCAAGACATTAGATGTTGCTTTATTTTTACTGGTTTTACTGGCATGGTGTAAAGAATACGACAATTTTCTTGCAACAATTTTTTTCACGTTGCATAGACCAGCTGCAGTCAAACATGTATTTTGAGACTTTTTAGTATGATAGATACAGGTGGCATCTTTTATCCAGTTCCATCCATTTATCCTTAGTTTTCCTTTTTACAATATTTAGTTTATCTCTGCGTGTCTAATATACATTATTTTTAAGTTAAAACAAAATTTCCAAGCCACGGTCCCCGCTAACCTCGCGTTTATTTATGTTGCCTTAGTCAGAACTGTTACCTACGCCAGATGTTATTTTACGACAGCTCGCCACCGAATAAACAATCTCTCTTTTTACACTTTTATGACGCATACTAAAAACTGTACAGCTGGAAATCACCGAGTTAAAAATGTAAATTTAGCCTAGGAATAGTAATAAATTAATTACGCAAGGATAATATTACTAAGTAACGACTGGCAAGTTATAGGAAATGATAAATAATTACCATACCATCCTAGTAACAATTATATGGAGGTAGTATGTAATGGTTCATCTCACAAGTAAAATTCTTTAAATATCCACGGTGAGAGAGCACATTGTGTCTAGATTATAAACCGATAGCACACATTTAAATAAAAACAATACACTGTAAAGTCGCAAACACAAAATAATAAGACAAAGCTTCTGTCACAGATGTGAACAACGATGATGCGATTTCCGGACCCGACGACACGCCCGCGCAGCTCCATACTTCTTTACATTCCATACGATTATAAGCACTATGGGAAGTAAGGAAGCACGGAACTTGTGCAAGGCTTTGTTTTCTGTCTTCAGTATAGGTACTGCAATCCAGTGCAGTTGCAATTTCTAGCTAGCTATTACACAACGGCAATGTACACAGTTGGTTTTGTACGTAACGCTTGATGTCTTCGGTAATGATGATGGAAGCACAACGCGACAGTCGGCGACAACGTGGGGGTAGCGAGCGACGCGGCGTGATGGCGGCTCACCGAGCACTGGCATCGCGATCGATGCGCACGCGCAGACCAGCTCTAAAAATGGAGTCAACCGCCGGAGTTCGCTTACGACTCGAGAGTACCATCCATTCCAAATTTGTATTTTCCCGAAATAGACCGGCGGCGAGCGTCCATCGGATCGGTTACCCGAACGTGCAGCGACCTGCAACGTGCGGGAACTGGTCGAAGTGCATGACAGAACCTCGGCTTCGGACTTGTTGGAGGCCGGCTCTTATGTAAGGAAAACCGCGCCGCGTGACGACCGTTTCGAAAATAAACGTGCACGCGGGGTACGACGCCGACGGGCGCCACATGTGCGCACTCCCGTCATCGTTCCAATGATCGCGCGCTGGAGGGGAGGCTATTATTAGTTGTACACCATCCACCACTGTCACCTCCCGCAGGGTAGTCGAGCTATACATAGTTCCGATCACGGGATCTGGCAATCCTGAGCGTTCACTGACCTCTGGAATAACATCAAAGATTTAACATTTTACCTATAAACAACAAGGTAATTAATCCTTTTCTTTTAAACAAGAATGGACGTTCAAAATATTAGTGAAAGCTGCGATAGTTCGAATGAAGTCCTGTTAAAAATCTGCGCTGTTTAACACTGTGTTCAGAAAACAAGTTTTGGTTCAAAACTAGTAAAGAGGTAGTTATGTACATGGGTTCGATTCCCACCCAGGATAGTTGTGTGATGAGCACTATCATTTGTGAGCCTATTATTATGCCAAGAAAAAGTGTATTACTCTATTAGTAGAAATATTATCAATAAATTATAAAGTGTTATTTTAAACAATTAGAATTGTAAAGAAACATTCCATAAATGTATTGTACGTAGCATGTCAGCCGCTGTATCGATACAGAAAACTCCCGATGCCGCGCCCGCAATGCGTGCCTCTATGTATACTCAGTCAATAAAAGAATTTTGGCAAACTTTTGTAGACAAACAAGTGGGACGACAGCCAACTCATCTTTTGTCTGGTTGAAAGCATCATCATTTTGTTAGCATTTCGATACCACAATGTTTCAAAAAGTAAGCATTTGCTGAAGTTGTTTTGTGGTTATAGCATTGATAAAGTTATTTTCGTGTATTTGATGAGAACTCGAAAACTATTATTTTCTACACCCCATTCATATCCTAGACTGCATGTAGTGGCTTATAATACTAGCTTTTGCCCGAGGCTCCGCCCGCGTGTATGTCGGGTATCGCGGTATAAAGTAGTCTATGTTAATAGCTCATAATGTACCTTTACATTCGTGAAATATTTTTTATAACCGGTTTAGTGGTTTAGGCGTGAAAGCGTAACTAACAAACAAACTCACTTTGACATTTATATTATAAATAAGTATGGAAGTGTGTATATATATATATATATATATAGTATTAAATAAATAAAGATGCCTAATGTTGATATCACAATTGCATCTCACAACTTTATTATGCTATAAAGACAACTCTTTAAGATGTTGGTTTTAGTTGTATTTTTAATGTCAACAAATAAATTATGATGTGGATTTGTCATAGAAATTTAGTATTTGAAATAAATTAATTGTGATGGTCATATCATATTGTACTAAAATATAAATACCAATTACATCAATGAAAAGTGTATTATTTGTGACTTTGAAAAGTATTTCTGGACACAGTCGACATAAAAACTTTGTTATACGAGTTTCAATCAATGGTTGAAATTAGTATAAAATTATATTATTAATACAGAGAAACAAAGTCACATACATAATATATATCTATTATCTTAGAATTACCTTACCTTAATATTGCAACGTGTTTCGATAACCCCCAACTATATTTTTTCTGGAATAAAAAGAATCGTATGAGTTATTCCAGGTTTTAAAATTTTTGCGGCCAAATTTCATATAAATCCGAGCACACAAATTCTCATGTTGTAATTAGTGTGGCAAAAAAATATTGATCACCACAGCATTCAGTACACTCAGATCAACAAGCACTTTTCTCTATATTTTCCTGTAACTACATAGTAAATACCCATCACGATTATTACATTTACAAATAACATATTTACAACTTTTAAATATTCGTCAATTATCTTGGATATTCTCTCTGTAAGAGTCATATATTTTTCAAAGTTTCGTGACAATTAGTATAATATTATTTATTATTATTATATACAAGAAAAGAGCATACTCCTTCCGCGTACGCGCTTGTGACTCCTGAGTTGCAAGTGTTCATGGGCGGCGCTAGCCGCTTTCCATCAGGTGACCCGTCTGCTCGTTTTCCCCCTTTTCCATAAAAATAACAAAAAACTATTCTATTTTAACACGACTAACACCGTTCGCCGCATAAATGTAGTAATATCTGGCGTCTCACGTAGCGTGTCTTAATTTTCATGCGCCCCTTAAGATATTCTTGTGGATAGTTCATTTGGTATAATTCGATTTCATAAGATCAGCTACTGGGATCTTCCATTGAGCAAAGAAATGCGGCGATGCTGTCCGCAAAGCAGCCGTCCGTCCAAAGAGCGTCTGTTGAATATTAATGCGACATTGTTATTGGCCACTAGTGCCCGCTGCTGCCCCAATCGCACATTTCCATAACTTACTATTCTGGATCTGCGGGGAATCAGCTCACTATGTAGAAATATAATCACTTGGGTCACTCATATTTGCCCTGTAAATTCTGTTCTGTCGCGACAATAAATTACATTATTCATCATGGCATTTATAAGTAGACGGCAACTTAGCTGCCTTCTCGAATACTCCGGACGAAGCTAAGTTCTGTGACGGCTCGATGATTCACGTGTCGATTGTTTCACATCGCTCGCTCCACTAGTCACTGATTCTATGGTTTATTATGAACAATCAATTAATGAAATGTGCCGCCTGAAATCGGAACCGATGTTACAGTACATGTTATGTTAAAGTACACTTTATAATTTATATTCTGAGATAAACTTACTGTTACATTCAACATGCTAAGCAGCTCTTCGCTTCTGCTTTGTTTTCGGTAGATTTACTTTTTAAGTTGAGTCTAAATCGTATTTCTCGTTATAGGGGACCACAATATAAGATAACTAAAGTGTTTTGCGATGCTTTGTAAAATACTTAAACTGCTTTATAAAATTAAGTCTATAGATAAACACATTTAGGCAAGATTATTAAAATGACTGTTATTAGAAAAAATGTTCAATGCATATTTTACATTGAATGCTCACAATGTTTATTAAACTTATTTGAATGTATTTAAATATATTACTATCGTAACTCTAAACCTTATAACAGATAGTTAGTCGTAGAAATCCAGGATATACCTACATAGATCTAATTTTATTAAATACCTTTAGCTACAATAGTCATAGTACGTGAGTCATTACTGAAACCTAAACCAATTTAGATTTAGAGTTCTCGGGAAAATGATTATGTATACTTATCCATATCTCTATAACAGGAGATATCCAAAATAGGAAGCATGAACAAAATTATTTAGAGATATTGTGCCAAGATACGTGTAGTGTTCCGTATTTTTATTGGTAGTACAATAAATAAAACGCTATAATATAAATATAATGTCTATCAAAATGTGTCTGAATGACCTTATGTTCATATTTTATAGATATCGAGGATTCAAAATACAACTACAAATGTCTGTCATCGAGTCTAAAATGCTGGCTAAAACGGACAAGTTTATATCTATTATTATTTTACATAATTGGCCAACAATATACATACTACTTTTTTGCACTATCCTACCGTAAATGCAGCAGAGTTATCGCCACGCTTAAAACTTTAGTAATCATTGGAGCTCTACTTATCTCGAAGCTATCACTTAAGAAACGTTACAAGTTGAGACAGCAGTTATAAATCCAATTTAAGATCTTGCCTTCGGCTCTTTTGAACCTTAATGAACCCATATCAAAGAAATCGTTGAAATTTCGCACAAATAATGCTGAATAATTTTAAGTAACATAGGACAGAAATATTACAATACCAAATAATGTAAAACGGCCATTCCTGAAATATTATGTGTCTCATCAAAATATAACATGAAAAAGAATATTAATGTCTGTTTCTACCACGTCAAATAGTAATATGTAATTAATATAACAGTAATGGTTAACTAATTAGCTAAGTAACAACATTACACGGTAAAGAATACATTTGCCGTACCATGATCGACCTATCTTTATTTCTTAAAATTAGAATGACTCGACAATCACAAAATATGTATACAAAATAAGCCGAGATATGTATCAAACAACCAAGCGCGGTAGCACAGAATAATACATTTAAATTAAACTACTTTGGACCAGGGCAATGTCGCAAACGACGTACTATTAATTAGAAGTAATGCCCTCATCAAAAAGTAAATTAAAATTGTAAAACAAAACACTTAATGATATGATTTAATAATTATATTACTCGTAGGCAAATTTATTTTATCAAATATTAAAACTACAAGCCATTAGGCTTGTAATCTAGTTTTAATCTAGTGATTCCTACTGATTGGTAAACTTATAGGAAGTTGTACTTATATTCATAGTTCTGTTGTTTTAATTATTTAATAATAACTATTTATGATAGCGATTTAACACATTTTTTTGGAATATATCCCCTTTTTCAAATAAAGTGCGTCGACTTTATAAAATCAGTTTAATGTCTATAAACTTACATATTTCAATGATAAAGTTGTGTATTACATTTTAGGTAATTCAATTAACTTTAACTGCTTTTTATTTTTATACACAGACATGATGCCATACTACTCTACATACAAACCCTACATTGTGCATCTGAAATTCAATTTTACTTAACAATGTACAATAATATAATTAAAAATAATACTTACACGAATTGTCACCATTTAAAACTCACCACTACTATATAGTTTCGTAATATGTACCTAACCAACGCAGACACTCTCAGAGTAATTTATCGTATGGTCCAGAACATGTATTGTCATGGTTTCACTGTTTTTGTGATGATGTCACTTGAGTGCAGAAGTTGTTATGAATTGTAGACGGTTGCACCGGGGTGCATGAGTGAACATGACACTGACGATGCGGTGCGCAGAGGCATGCGAGCACGAGACGAGCGGCGCGCTGGAGCGAACTGTTGGTGTACGTAGGATGCGGCGTGCGTACCCGCGCACCGCCGCTGACAGTGCCGCGCCCGCGACGTTTGACCTTATTTAATTAGTTCGTTCGTTTTTACTCTTTGAATGTAACATAGCATATTAAAATGTGTAACTGTCTAATTCATTGTTGCCATCCACTCAGTTAATATTGTCGCCGCTTTACCAACAATGCTGTCGTCAGAATGTAGTTAATTGTACTTACGCACTTACATAACACGGTTCCACACGGTTCAACAAAGTAAAATTAATATCTTCGCGTGCCTGTAAGAAGCTAATATTCAAACGTCTTTATTTTTCCTGTTCCTTAAAGCTTGTATCCAGATGTAGCTAACTCGATCTCTAGTGCTATTTCTGTTTGGAGTTCACTTACCTCGATCCATCGTTGATTTCTGCAATTGAGATTATATGAATTAGTATTTCTATCTACAAAATATTTAAGTTTTTTTTGTAGAGAATTCTATAGAGTTACTCAATATTCTTAGTGTATTTCACACATGAATTATTCTTGAGCAAACCTTAAAAAATATTTTTCAAACAAAAGGGTCTACTGAACTACTACCACTTAAATGACTTTCGTATACAATATTGAATCATAAAATTGTATTAGGTATATGCATTTTTTCATACCCCGTGTCAGGTTGGTGTAACATTTATTAAAGAAATGTTACGGTTTTTGGATATTTTTAGTCGCGTTCTGCTAAAGTGCTGAGCAGTGAGAAATTGTATTATGTAGAAAAAGAAATGAAGATGTGAGCGCCTCATGGGTCACGAGATTCTACTTTTTGAAATTATTAATACTACTAATATAAAAACCAAATGAACAAAAACTGCGATTGATGGTACAATACAATTAGAAATTGTAATATTCTTAGTTTGTCATATTTTAACCCTTGGTCGTGGGTTGGAACCAGTAAGAAACACAATACTAAAGCTGTAAACTTTGTAAAACGAACGGTATCGATTTTTTAGAACGAAGCAATTGACATAAAATCACTTATGTCGTATATCTAGTAGTTTATAATGCAAACATGGAAATCACTTGAACGGTTTTCATTTTTCACAGTCAGCAAAATGTTGGCTCTAAATGCGCCTGCCAACCCCTTCGGGGTTAAAAGACGTGAGTGTATGTTACATAAGCTTGTTTATAAACGATATTGGCTGTATGTCGCCCATGTACTAAGGCAATGAATTATCATTTTGAGGGAAACGTCAAATACAAATTTCTATAGGTTTTAATTTTTTATACGAGGACCATACACATTTTCAAGCATTAAATAGCTTAAAAATGCTCTTAAAACGCCTGAATCTGCTTGTAAAACTCCCTGTCAATCAAACCGACTGCACGGATGGCGTAGTGGTAAGCGGTCAACTCGCCGCTTCCTACTGCGCTGAACGTTCTAGGTCCGCGGTCCACACGGGACAACACTTTGTGTGATCTACAAATGGTTGTTCTGAGTCTGGGTGTTCTTTGTGTCCGTTTCCATGTATGTTTGTAATATCTGTAAGAGAAAAAAAACCAAGGCAGAGAAAACACTGTGCAACGACACGTGGTGACAAGCGCTGTAATTGATTGAATGCTACTTTAGTTCATTATTACTTTTGTTTTATGGAGCCTTAATTAGTCTTCTAAAATAAAAAATCTAAGTTATTGTTGTATTCCTTTATTGAAGTGTAGTTAAATATGGCTTAACTTTTTGAAGAAATAAACAAGCAAAGTCAGGCGCTAAGAAAGCTGACTAATATTTCTTCAACTAAAAAGTAGAAAAACTAATGAAAACTTGAAGTTTTCATTAGTTTTTCTACTTTTTAGTTGAAAACAATGATTATTTGAAACAGGAGTAATAAGTATTTTATGATTAAAGTTAGACAACTTTATACTTATCACTTATTTTACATTACACCCAAATGAGGACTCGCTAAGGGGTCTTAGTAAGTTCAATTAAAAAAAGTTTAAATGGATGTTTCCATCGTACTGTTAATAATAGTTCAGGCTCAGCGGGGGATACGTTCAAATCCATTTTTTTTCAGACAATCTATGAATACTTTACAGCCTATCGCTCAAAGTACGTGGGAGTGTAAATGTTGTTTTTTTTTTAATTAAAATATTTTGTCACAATCACAGGCTCCCTGCCCGCAGTGAAGTTTGCATACAGCATAAGCTATTTACATAAATTTGCATAGGCGGACTTAGCGAATGAGCGTCTATGTTTTCTGTAGCGTTCGGTATTCAAAGAGACAAAAAAAAAAAAAAACAAAGGTACAGAACGATGGAAATTCAGCATAAAATGTCCTTGTCATTTTTTGTATACACGAATAAATATTATCTTTATGGCTTTAAATGGCTTAAAATAGTCCGTTTAAATAAAGGACTTCACTTACGCTTTTTTACTTAAGTTTACCGAATTATCTTTTACTTAGATTTACCTCCGTCCACCCACCACACAAATTCGGCAAACTGGACATAGTGAAGAACATAGACTACTTAGACCACTAGCCATTTCTTTCACACAGTTATTGATGATTAAATTAATAATTATTTGAACGGAATGGTCTAAAAATAAGTCGTAAATAGAAATACGTAACAAGATTTAATTTTTTGTTGTTTTACTTAAATAAATTATTACTATAATAAAATAATTTATTTAATTTTTATTTTCAGCGCTATGAAAATAATGCTCGGCAAGTTACCACGCCCGTGGATAGTAGACGACGCCAAAGACGATGGGTATACAGCATTACACCTGGCCGCTCTCAACAACCACGCCGAAGTGGCAGAGTTACTTGTACGAGGTGGTGCACGACCTGATCTACAAAATGCTAACCTGCAGACAGCCTTACACCTCGCGGTCGAAAGACAGCATACTCAAATAGTGCGCCTACTCGTCGCGCATGGAGCGAATCTCAATATTTGTGACAAGGTACGGAAATATATTATATCCCTAGCGTGATGAATAAGATAATCCTGTAAAAAAATTACTTACTTCAATTCAAATACAGCTTATTTAATTTTACCATAGAAGTCGGTTGTACAATGGCTGTTCAAGTTATACTTTCGAACTAAATAAAAAAAAATCTGGTCAAAAATCGACAATAAGGCGATATTTATCGATCACTTCAGCGAATGGTGTTTTTCAGTTCTTAGGAGTAACAATAATATACTAGACTAATATGTCGTGACAAAAACTTAGAGACAGGTATTTATTATGAATGAATGATGGTATATTTATATTATATAAATATACCCTGTTATCCCAATGAAAACGTCCCTATACCACTTCACCCGGGGGTACGACAAAGCAACTATGTAGATTTCGAACCAACTAAAACCACACAATGATGAGAGAGTACGTATACACAAAGTAGAGTCGAATCCAGAGACCGCCAACAGTTCCAAGCCACCATATTTCAATTGTACGTCTATTCCAATGCCTCCGAATGAATTTATAGGTACCTAGTAAACCAGCCCGCCTCCTAACCGTTTCTCTAGTAACTTCTAACTTCTAAAAACAATCTGACAAATAAGAAATAAAAAAATTACATAAGCAAAGCAAGATAAAAAACATTACCACGATTTTAATCATTAAAAAAATTATTACTACCATACAAATATCGTACGATATATTTTAGTCTAGGTTAATATACCGGTGCTATGATCTGGAACAAAGTTTACCTGCAAGATGAACTCGCGAATGTACTAATAATACTCAATCAACTTTACTGTACTTTCTTATTATAGTTAATATTCAACCGTATTCGATTTAAATGGGCAAACATGTAAAATATTAACATGATACAGTAACAGATCGCCTCAGCTGTGACTACATTGAAATTCAAATCACCAGTAATACTTAACATAGTGAATGTCAGAAACACGGTCCTGTAATTTTAAAGAATATGTTTGTGTACAAGAGATATGAGCGTGAAATGTGACAAAGATTTGTATAAAGTGGCTTTAAAGTGACAGACTATAAAAATGCATGTTATTAGAAATCTTATTGCAAACTCTAGTTCTGGCAAGTTTTTGGCGATAGTGTTGTTAAAATTTTTAGTGACTTCCTTGTTTAATACATATAATGTTTTGGATATTGACTTTGCAATGCCAATTAGAAACTCAATAGGAGTATAAAAAATATTTAAAGGAAGCTATGCTTAATACACTATTTTATGCCATGTAATAATAATAATAAAAAGGGAATGACCAAATACACATGTATTAATTATAAATTAATAGTTTGGGCAAATATGCAAATAGAACATGTTTTAACAAATCTCGTCATCTTCGAACGTTTTTTTGACCCACTTCAAAACGTCTAATTAAATTGAAACATCGCACACTCATCAATAAATTTGGTCGATTCTGATCAGGATTAACGGCTTTTTCCATACTTACAAATACTGTCTAGTGTCTTTTGTTACGTACTAAGAGGCGTGTGCTGAAGCATACATATGTAACTTACTTACTTGTTACTTTTTTACACTTAATGACTAAATAACTTAATGACGAAAAAATAATCACTACTACGACTATAAAAGAGAAAATAAATTATAGTTTAAAAAAAACTTAAAAACACGCTCTTGTAACTATCTAAACTAAAAGTAGAAAATAATTTTCTAAAATTGCTTTTCAAGATATTTTATAATATAAAAAATTTACTTTTACCAAAATCGGAGATCGTGCGGAACCCTCTTATGACCCTGATGGCCAGCACTCGCTGCGGTCATCGCAGTAGTGCGACGTTGCTGGCCCTGCCCATAATGGGGCCCCATAAAGGGCCATGGACCGCACAACCCCAAGTAGAGTCTCCTGCAGAAGTCATCGGGTCCCTTCATGTTGGGCAGCAGCCGCGCAGATGCTCGCGCTGCTCCAATCAACTTGGGGACCAGACCACTCGGAAATAATGTCCGAAGTCCCATCGGCCACCGAGTACGAGCCCCAGATACCTCATCGAGAGCTCAATGCCGATCCGAGTGCCCCCTACTATGAGGCTGGATCCTCAAGTGGCTTCCTCCGATCCCCATAAAAGAGCAAGGCCTCGAATTTGTGCAGAGTCATTTCGAGGCCAAGGATGTCGGCGCGATGTCGCGATGTCCAAGGACACCGCCAACACCACTTCGACCCGGGAAACTGCTTCCTCCGCCAGAGCCCTCACGCGCATGATCGCATCGACGGTGGAGCGCCCCTGACGGAAACCGTACTGATTGTCCGGCCCCATCATGACGAGATGCTTGACGAGGCGCCTTGCAATCACTCTTTCGAAGAGCTTGCACACCTCGTCAAGCAACGCTATGGGCCGGTAGGCGGATGTTGAGTCCGCCTGGAGCCCCTACTTTCGAATGAGGACCAGTTTCCCCGTCTTCCACAATTTCGGAATCTGGCCCCGCACGAGGCATGCGCTGAAGAACCCTCTCAGTCGGAGCTCGAGAGCCCCGTCATCTAAGGCCAGGACCCATCAGGATCATCAGTGGTGGAGTAAGCTCTACCCCTCGCGATGGGAACAGGGAGTCGACTACCCCCTCAAGCAGCTCTGGCTGAAGACACCGGGTGAGCGGCGGGGCCCAAGGGCGCATCTTGCCCCTAACCATACCGTAAGGGCGTCTACATGGATACCGCTCCAGTGTCTCGAGCAACTCTCGGCGGGCCTCACTTTTGGCCCGCTTTATTGCTGCCTGAAAGGTCCCCTTGACGACCCTGTATTACGCTCACAGCTCCGACTCCCGCGCTGCCGCGTCTACGGGACAGCGACGCCTTCTGCGGAACCTGGACCACTGGCAGCGCGAGGTCACACAGGTTTTCCGCAGCCATGCGATCGCCGGCGACCACCATTAAATCTGGCGCCTCGCAATATTGGGCTGAACTGGCTTGCTCTCCGCTATGCCCTCCGCCAAACAGGGATGGCCGTTCCCACCTCGGCTGGAATTGGCCGTAGGCGGCAGCGCCTCCTCCACCTAGGGAGAGAGGCGTTGCCGTCTTTGTTGCCCAGGGTGCACCACAAGGAGATCCTGGACCCCGCACCGCAAATCCGTCCAGCCTGAAAAATAACACGTACCCTGGGATAAGTCAAAGAGAACGAAAGAACAGATAAACTTTACAGATATACTTTTATAATATTGGGGAGGTTAGTATGATTTTAATATGAGTAAGATTTTTGCAGTAGATGTAAGTATCAAGATACAAAAACTCATTGGTACAAATATTCTGAGTAAGTCTCTTAAATCATACACCTGTGTGCATCTGTGCGGTAATCCCCTCGGATACCACCCACCGGTAGTTATGTCGGACTCTAACCAACTAAAAACCGTACGCCATCTCAGGTACCAGTAGCAGGAGAACCAGGTGTACCCTAGGAAGGAAAAGTGTGAGATAGCTAAACTAAATAGCAACACCGATATAGAACGAAAAAGCAGTTTTGCTATTATTAATTGGTAGCTGGAAAAGTGAAGTAGGCGGAGCTTAACACCCCCTCACCCCGAAATTGCCACACGTTTTTTAATAGGGAAATCTATTTACTACGCCTCCTCCTGGTATTTGCTCGGTGGTGTTTACCTATAAAGTTCGAGATTTTTAAAACCAGAATTTTCAGATTTAATTATCTGTGGATTGCCGAGCAATTCGAAATTCAAATAATAAGCATAGCACTAATGAATCGGGAATTCCCTCGTTTTTACGAGGGAATCCTGAATCGAATTATTACCTGCGATGAAAAGTGGGTTCTGTACGACAACCGTAAGCGTTCCTCTCAGTGGGTGGACCCGTGTTTCAACACCTAATCAGTGCGCTAAAAAAAATAACCTATAGGAAGATGTCAAAATGATAGAGACCGTCTGGTGAATCAGAGCCGGACTTGTAACATCACAGCTTCTCACCGAATGAAATAACAGTGACAGCAGATGTCTGTTGCCAAGAATTGCAAACAATGATGGAGGAACTCCCAATTTTAAAACCATGACTGGTCAATCGCTCTTCCCCATTGCTTTTCCACGACAACGCGCGATCTCACTATCGCAAAGCTAATGAAGTTACAGCTGGAAACTCTTCATCACTCACCGTACTCACCGGATCTTGATTGAAAAAATTCACGCCCTACTGGCAATACGCTTTCGTGGACTTCATCGCCTCCCGTCCAGCAGACTTCCACAGGAAAGGGATACACAAACTGCCATCAAAAATGGCAAAATTGTATAGATAATTTTGACCTTTAATTTGATTTATAAATTTAAAAAAAATAACCAAAACTTTTATGTTTGTAAATTTTCATACAAATCTCCAACTTCAAAAGTAAAGACCTATAATTGACTCGAGAACAGTATCTTATTCCTTTTTCTCTTCTTGTTCCTTTTTTTTGGGCAGTTGTATATTGAAAAAAAAAAATTGAGCCGTCACGGTATGTCTGGCAGATGTGAACCATCGAAATTATTTTGTAGAAATAATTAATATAAAATCATTTTGTTACTCATCGTAAGAGAGTCGCAGATTCATTTGTGCATGACAACGCGTCGCCAAACCGCATTTTGTATATATATTTATTTTTAAAAACATCTCCCGCACTAGGAATGTATCCTGTGTCGCGGGAGACTTTACAAACATACATGGAAACGGACACAAAGAACACCCAGACTCAGAACAACAATTTGTAGATCACAAAAAGTGTTGTCCCACGTGGGGATCGGCACACAAAACTCAGCGCAGTAGGAAGCGGCGAGGTGACCGCTTAAACCACTACGCCATCCGTGCAGTCATTGCATGTTACAAATGCTATCACATGGCGTGGTGACGCGTCTCCACCACGCTATAGTTAGCTAAGCAATAAATTAAGCAGGTCGCCTTAATATTCAATTTCTATTTAAATAATGTGATCAATACTCTCACTTATGTATTTTCTTTATATTTTAATTCAAAGAAGAAATTCTTCAACAATGAATCATTGTCGCAGTCTTTGTCGCAGTCTTCATGTCCTATTTCTTCCTATTTTCTTAAAATGTATCTTGTAAGTCCGGAATGTTTATTCATTTTAAGTATTTTATATATACATGTACTTTCTACGATGCCGTTTTCATGGGTTGAAACGGCAAGATTGCGTTAAACATATTTTAAATTAAATTTTAACGGGTAGTTGTTCTCATTTTCTTTAAATTACGTCAAAGAATAACAGTGCTTACAAGCATCACAATTAACTAACTTACTCCTGTTACTTAGTTATGCTGCTCAAATCCAATGAGAGATTCGAAATTAGCATATCTTGCAAATCCTTGAATCTGTAACTCACACAAAGTTAGCTTTGGTCCAATAGTTTTCGCCGAGGGCGCTGTTTCATGGATATTCCTAGCAGCTGTAAGAATGAGCATTCAAACATTATGTTACCTTTTTGTGCTTTCCTACCTTTTTATCATAAGATTTATCACATTAATTCTTTTCCAGACGACATTATTCTAGTATATACGAAAAAAGTACCTTCAAAGCACGATGTCAGGCCTCCATCAAATTGCAGCGTCTTGTAGTGAAAATTGTATCAAAATATTCGGATTTATTTTAGAATATCCTCATGGGAAGCTAAAAAACTTAATCATAAATCTTTTGATATATATTTATAGGATGGTGATACGCCTCTACATGAAGCACTGCGTCACCACACACTACAACAGTTACGGCGTTTGCAAGATGCACGCGACGCATCGCTTCTTACCGGGCTAGCGCATCCCCACGATAAAAAGTCTTCGGCTTCCATCGCTTGCTTCCTTGCCGCGCATGGTGCTGATCTCACCGTTAAGAATAAAAAAGGTAGGAAACGGTCACAACTTAATGTTACAACTAAATAGTCTGTAAGGAAACTTTGGATCTTATATTATTAAATTCTTTTGAATTAGTGTCATTTAGAAACGCTAATTCTTCGTAACACTAAAGTCTACTATATTTTTTATTTTTTTGTAAATGTATGCAATTCAAGTTGCGAACTATCATGACTTCAAATTTCCATTTTAACACTGAACAAACTATTTGAGTGACGACTAATGGGACTTAAAAGCTTACTATTTAGCGGATTCACCGGGTATCTGAATCGAAATATCATGTCATCAATCTTTCTGACTACGGAACTATAAAGCAAATAATTAATGAATATTTTAATTTATTGTAGGTCAAACACCCCTTGACTTATGTCCGGATCCGAATCTCTGCAAGACTTTGACTTCTTGTCGAAAAGAAGGTAGTGGACTTGGTTCCGAGGATGACGGACGGGCAGAGGGCGAAACGAGTCTGTTGAGTACCGTGGCCAGCAACAGTACAGCTGCCCCAGTCACGTCACCGTCATCTGCTCCAACAACATCGACAGCATCTACTGAAGTAACATCTACAACAACCGAACCTTCTGACCCAACTGCGGATGAGTGCCTCGTCTGTTCTGATGCGAAACGAGATACGCTTTTCCGTCCATGTGGACACATTTGTTGCTGTAACGTATGTGCTGCACGGGTAAGTTCCATACCTCCAACATACTCCTAGTGTAAACTGTGCGTTACCCAATATAATTGAAATGCCGGTCAAATACCCTCCTTTTCATTATTAGAATTGTCAGGTAAAAGTGATATTCTGTGGAACTGGTTTAACCCAATTTATTATTAGGTCCCTTGGTTAGCTGCACTCCCCTTTTTTTCCTGTGCGGAAATCCTCTCGGATACCATCCACCGGTGGGGTGGCTATGTCGGACTCGAACCGATCAAAATTCGCACGCCGCCGCCGGGTACCAGTAGCCGGGGAAAGAGATGTGCCCTGGAAACGAATCCCCTGGCACAGCTGCACACCCCTGTTTATTAAAGATAGACCATAGATTAACAAGATAGTTGATTGTTGATTAACAAGTTCACTTGAGAACAATTATGGAAAACTCTTAGATGTAGTGGCTTCTTTACGATGTCATCCTTTATTCTTATTTTCCTATTTAAATAGCAATCAATCTAAAATAGACACATGACTATCAAAGTCATCGATGTGCAGGAATAAATTTAAATAGGTTCCATGTCACCAGCTACTACTTTTACTGATCGAGGTCAAATCTTTTCTTATGCTATTATTATTTTGACTTTTATGACTGCACGGATGGGTTTAGGGGGTCACTTTACCGCTTTCTACTGAGCTGCGTGTTGTGGGTTCGATCCCCACATGAGACAACACCTTGTGTGATCCACAAATTGTTGTTCTGAGTCAGGGTGTTCTTTGTGTCCGTTTCATGTATTCATGTTGTCTCTTTATAAGAAAGAATAAAGAATGTGTGTTGTCATCTCTGAAAAGTAATGTATCGAAGACCCTATGATGATATGGCGCGTGATGGTCCAGGTGAAGAAGTGCTTGGTGTGCCGCGCGTGTGTGACGGGGCGGGCGCGCGTTGGCGAGTGCGTGGTGTGCTCGGAGGCGCCGGCCACGGTGGTGTTCCGTCCGTGCGGCGACGTGTGCGCGTGCGCCGCGTGCGCCCCGCTCATGCGCAAGTGCGTGGAGTGTCGCACGCCGCTGCAGCCCGCGCCCACCCTTGCCGCGCCCGCCACCACGTCCCTCCCGCCTACTCAACTCCCCGCACCGCTGCCGCTCAAGATTGACTGTTAGTACTATTTCAAACTTTAAATCACTTAATGTAACTAGACCAGTCATATTTAATTCATTTTGCCGATTGCACAATGAATGTTCAACTGGAATAGGCGTAACACAATGCTCAACCTCAATGTTTGGGCTAAATGAAAAAGATAATAATTTACATATTAATATTGGTAAAACCATACTTATACATTTCCAAGCACACAATAGTAAACGGCACCAATTGGAATTGGATGGAATTGAAATAGATTTGTATATGTTTTGTGCAGAGTGACTCGCGTAGCTGATTTCAACGCAGCACTGTAAGCCTATTATCAATTTTCCGCTACGGCATTATGATATTTGGCAATTCTATTGATACTATTAAAGCATTCCAAGCCCAGAAGCAATGTATTCGAACAATAACTAAAGCCCAACCATTAGAAAGCTCTGTCCCACTCTTGAAACATTTAGAAATATAATATAAGTAACAGAATCATCATAAATTTTCAGTGGAGAAGGAAGGAGGAAGCAGCAACCTAGCTCAGGTGCAGGTGAACAAGGGTCAGCCGGTGCCGGCCCAGTCGGCCCCGCACTACATGAACAACGGGTCGCGGTTCGCCGCCGGGCCGGGCGCGCCCGCCGCCCCGCCCCCCGCAGCGCCGCCCGCCCCCGCTGCTGATGTGCAGAAGTTGCAACAACAGCTACAGGACATTAAAGAACAGGTAACGTCTTACGTCGAAGCAATGTCGAAGCAATTGTCGACGCACAACATCCGTTATTATAAGCTGGGGGAAGAAATCTGAAACGCGGCTACTAATCGGCGGAATCAATAGGTTTCCGTTTACTAAATAGTTGTTTTTTAATTTACAGACTATGTGTCCGATTTGCTTGGACCGGTTGAAGAACATGATTTTCCTGTGCGGACACGGCATGTGTCAGATGTGTGGCGACCGCATCACGGTGTGCCCAATCTGTCGCAAGCAAGTCGAGAAGCGCATCCTACTTTACTAAACATGTACACCGCCGCGCCGTCGACCAACTTAGGATTTGAATCGAAGTTTTAGTATATTATAAAGGCTGATTTTATTTTACAATGTCATAGCTAGTACCTATTAGCCAAGTTTACTCTATTTTAAACGTGTAAAAGAAAACGTTACTGTATAGTACCTCGCCTCGCAAGAGGTCATTCGTAAATTAAGTCACAGCTGCCACCGGCCTTACCACCATCCATTTTTAACAGACACCAAAGTCTCAAAAGAAGGGTTCTTAATCCAGTTGATTTTTTTAATGTGTGTTACCTTGTAACTCCGTCATTTATTAACCGATTCGCATAATTCTTTTTTATTAATATTTATATTAAAAGTTGCATTTATTACCTTCGGGGTGCAAAATAACGAAATTGTGACGTCAGATCAGTCCTCATGTCCGACGTCCTTGTCTCAGGATGCGATATGTCATGACGTCCGCAAGGACGAATTTCATGATTTTTTTAATTCCTGTGACAAGGATTAAAAAGCATGAAATATGTGACTATTAATGGCCCCAATAGGAAAATTACGACATGCTAGGTCAATCGTTTCAATCAAATCAATTTAACATGTACAAATAACATTATCTTAATAACGAAGCTTCCCTGATGCTCTTTCTAATATTTCAAAGTGACTTAATAGTTCGTATCACGGTAAAGTAAAAACAAAGAAAGAGGCTTAAAATGTATAAACCTATACCTAATAGTTTTATAATGAGTATATTAGGTATACTTATTCTCGATATCGTCAAACATGTGCAGACATTGCCTGATGGCATTTGCACTTAGATAATATTGTTTGTATTCTACGGTGATACGAATGACATGAATAATGAGAGAAAATGTGTTCAGTAGTTCCCAGTGGGCGAATAAAAGGAAAAATCTGCCCAGTCAATTGACATAATAATCTCACTAGTAAGAAAGTACGTCTTCAGTAATCGAAACGATTGAGAGAAAATACTCTCAGAATTCGATAACAAATTCCATTCTTTTTAACACTAAAAACACCAACACCTACGGTATAGTAAATATAATCTCATGTAAAAACTTCATACTTGATATGAAAATTGAATAACCATTAAAATTAGGATGTTAAAACATATTACATTAAAACATTATATAAACCCCTACTGAATGAATACAGAAGTAAATTAATATTAGGTAATGGCATTGATAAGTTATTTTTAAAAGTGTAAAGAATACCATACTATGTAAAGAAATGCTATCAAGTGGTATCCTTGTTTATTTATGTCTCTAAGTTGTAGGAAAGAAATCTGATAGAAATTCGTAAATTTCAATATGCATTATTAATCCTTTATTGCTAAATGTTCACATGTTTAGACAAACTTCAAAGGTAAAGTTCAAAGTAAAAACTCAAGTTATTTAAATTATTAGCATTTACTAAATAAGGCTGATAAGGAATCCTCGTGCGAAGCATAAACAAATTATCATTTTTCTATTATATTTAGTTGTTGTCAATTATGCATGTAATGTTTTAAAGTATTTGTCATGTGATTGTTGTCAATAAAATATTATAGACTAATTTTAATAAAATTATATGGAAATAAAAGTGATCACAAATATCTTTCCTTCTGGCGAGCTGTCAGTAGGCTATCAATGATTTGCTACGATTGAACGAGGATTATAAATGTTGTATTTAATATCAAGGTTCACTCTTGCACTAATTACTTGCATTTTTCTTTAAACTGACTCGCTTTAGTAATGAAATCTTTGCACATGCTTCGTTACCAACAGTTTTCCATTACGACATACACGTAAAAATTGCCAAAATATTCTCAACTGGTTTTTTGACAATAACAATGCTTCAAAATGTTACCCTTCGTGGCTAGCCAGTGAGCCAATTGTTTAATGTAGCATAGACGCCAGATCTATAAGATCCAGTTATTAATTACTCTGCACTAGAAATAAGTAATAGGCTCTATGTATTGTGTAATTTTGCATTTGTTAGTTACTTCATAATATTAACAATATTTATTATATCATTATACAGTGTATGTAATCAATATAGATACCTTTAAATAAAGATTATTGTTTAAAGGATAGTTTTTATTCTTCTCGAACAAATAAACGTTACAATTTATAAAATTAACCAGAATAATTAGCCACCAACGTACTATCATCAATTGTTTCCTTGGCCTGTTGCGGGTATTCTTCAGCTTTTTCCTCAAGAACGGTGACCGAGTCTCTACTTATGGCTTGCTCGAGTAACAACTCACGCGTTAAGTCGTAAAATCTAAACGATAAGTGCAAGTCTTGAGCTAGTTCGCTCTCGTCGCATCGCTGAAGGTTTTTGTAATATTGGTCAGTCATTCCGTTCAACTCCGGCGCAACTGCACAATACAGTGGTGTACTAGCGGCCTGGCTCTACGCAAACGACAGTAAATATTAATTAGGTTATTTTGATTTCATACTACGACAAGTAATAAAACATAACAGTGTAAAAACATGTAAAATTGTATGTATTTTACAGCCAGAGATTGTACAATAATGGCTAGGTATCTCTCACTTGCTGATACTTGGAAATCGCTTCTGTTCCGATGCAGACTGTAATTTAGTCATTGTTTTTCGGGAACCTATGCTGCTTGACCAAAAAATCAGATTCAGGACAATTGTATGTAGGTAAACATTGCGCGTCACTGAGTTCATTTAAAAAAGAAAGGATACGGTCAATCGTGAATACTTACAATAGTCTTAGAAAACGGTTTCATGATATTATAAAGAGTCTCGTAGGGCCACCAATTAGTACAAAGTCTTGTCTTGACGAAGGTGCCTGGGTTGGCACAGAACACCAACTTACCCGTGTTCAACCAACGGTAACCCAAGTAGTGCATAAAAAAGATGCCACAAAGTTTAGAGATATTGTAAGCCTTTATAGAAGTGTATTCGTGTTTTGGAAGTGACACCATTTCTTTAGTTGGTGACAGTTTATGGAAGAAAGGCCAATTGACATGTCTGAAACATAAAACAAATAATTTAATTCTAAAGAAATGCTAACATATAGATTTTGAAAAGAAAAATACTCTCGCTGTCCGTCCGTAGCCTACTGTTATTTTTATCGCATAGTGTATTTTGTGTAAATGAAAACTATGTTTTGATTCAAGAATCTGTTTGCAAAGTTTATAAAAAAATATGTAGAAATTTATCATATTATAATGAAGTTAAAAGGAAAAGAGCGATTAATAGATTTAATAGTCAACAATATTGTATTAGTACATACTCGTATAATTGTGTACAAACATAAAGAATCTAAAACCGTTCAACGAGCAATTCTTGTCTATATATTTATATATATAATCTGAATCTCGGCAACGGCTCCAATTACTTTCATGAAATTTAGTATGCAGGGGGTTTTGGAGGTGGGGCCTGTTTCCGAAATTATAGAAGACGGGGAAACTAGTCCTCATCCGAAAGGAGGGTGTCGCAGGTGGATTCACCATCCACCGGGACCATAGTGTTGCTTGACGAGGTGTGCAAACTCTTTGAAAGAATGATTGCACGGCGCCTCGTTGAGCACCTCTTCAGGGTGGAGCCGGATATGGCGGACAACCAGTACGGTTTCCGCTCGGGGCGCTCCACCGTGGATGCGACCATGCGCGTGAGATCTCTGGCGGAGAAAGCAGTTTCCCGGGGCGAAGTGATGTTGGCAGTGTCCTCCAACGCGTTAAACACTTTGCCATGGAGTTGCATCAGGGAGGCGCTGTATCACTAAGTGCCTCATAGTCGGGGCATATTTTTCGGAGAGAGCCCTCGTCTACCCAAGTAGGACCGGTCTCGGTGGGCGTGAAATGTCGTGCCGTGTTCCACAGGGGTCGGTGTGGAACATCGGCTACCACTGTGTGCTTCGTGATGCCTTCCTGGATGGTGTCGCCGTCACGTGTTATGCGGATGACACGCTAGTGACAGCGTGCAGCAAGACGCAACGTGAAGCAACCCTGAGACGCGCTGCGGAGCGCGCGCGTCCTTTTTGGACATATACACGCCGTGGATGGCCCGAGGTAAGTTGGGGTACCAGGGATTTCCTTTCTAGGGTACACCTGGTTCCCCGCCTACTGGTAACCGAGACCGGTCGGTTCGAGTTCCACATAATCACAGGGGTTTCTAACTAATACCTTTAAACGAGTAATTCTTGTACATATATTTAAAATCTGAATCTCTAAAAGGGCTCCAACGATTTTCATGGTTTCGAGAGCGATTAATCCATATAGCTAGGTTTCATTTTTAGAAAATTTACCGAGCTGAGCTCGATCATCCAGGTACTACTTACGTTATATATATGTAAATTTCTTTATATATCTGTGTAATTATATTCTATTATAATTATATAATATATGTGTGTAATTGTATAATATATATATATATATATGTAAATTTTGTTTAGTTTTATATACTTATTGATAAAAAAAACAGTGATTACAATTGCAACCTCGGTGCACCTACCCTACAAGATTTCTACACCACCTAAAGGTTGACTGGGAGAGAATGCCCAGAGCATTAAGTCCGCGAAGTACATAAGTTCATGAAGATGTAAAATAAAAAAAAATAAAAAAAATAAGTAATCTCATGAAATCGAATACGAGCAGTAAATTGGAAAGTTTTCTAAAAAGAATCATTTAGATGAAGCTAATAAGCTAATAATTTGTCTAAAACAAGTAGTTAACATAACAACCTTATTTATTTCGTAAGGCATAGGGGGCAACCGTGACTACCGTCGCCTATGGACACTTGCAACTCGAGAGTAACAAGTGCGTAGCCACCAAGAGTCCCCCCTCCCCTCTAATATCAGGAGGTAACATCGCTCACTCAGTGCAAAGCAACGAAGAAATTACTAACTCGGTTGTCTGTGTGGCCGTAGTAACACTCCTAGTGGAGCCGGTCCATAGCATCAGCATAGTTCCCGAAGCATTGCTCTCACGGTTATTATCATGGAGAGCGCTCCGAGGAATTGTTTGGAGTAATACCGGGCGTAGGTTTCCGCTATCGTTCCACGCGGCAAAACCTCCTGCCCCAGCACCCGGATAATTGGCACTCCAACACTGTGCGTTTTTCAAGATTTTTCATCTCGCAAAACTGGCTTTGGTCGCCCGCGGTGTTTCCGGACCAATGCAACGTTCAAACCGTCAAGAAAAGAGTGTAGTCCTACTTCAAAGGCCGGCAAAGCGCTTGTGCCTCCTGAGTTGCAGGCGTTCATGTGTGACAGTTGTCACTTTTCATCGGGTGACCCGTCTGCTCGTTGACTTAACAAGCCTGACTTAAAGTTACGGTGAGTTTACACGCTCGCTCGTATTAAAGTAGTCTCTTCAAATTGTCGTCCTAAGGTCTCATCTGCTTGCAGTGTTTACTCTTCTTTCAGAATAACAGAGTGCAAATTCATTATAACATTTAATAAATACATGAACTAGGAACTAACCTGTGTGAATCCGAAGATACAATAATCACACGAGCGTCGGGGGCAAGTATTTTTTCAATATTCATAAGCAAATACGCATGACTCAAGTAGTTAACCTGAAATGTTGTTTCAAACGAGTCCTCGGTGAGGGTCCAAGGTAAACCGAACACGGCCGCATTTAAAATGACTATATCGAGTTTTCTGCAAAATATCAACTTATTTTAACCTACTTCCATGAGTTAAGCTAACTCAAGGAAAAAGGTAATTTTATTGTCTTCACAATAACGACTTGACGAAAGACGTTCATCCAGGGTCATCTCTTTCGTCTTCGGCATTGCATGGTAAGTAGGGACCTATCAACAACGTTGCGGTGTTCATCATACTTCGTATAATAGGTACCAATAGTTAACGGGATAAGAATACCTATAAATTAGGATGTTAAGGGTTGTTTGCTATGTATTTTAAATTCTATAATTTTTTTTGTTTGGTTACAACAGTAATACAAGTAAAATTGTACAAGTGTAATTGCTCTTGAAAACCTAGAATAAGACCGCTCTGACTCATTAAATACACAATAATAACTAGATGTAGATAATTTTAAAAGATTCTTACGGTATATCTCTTAGGATTTCGTCTGAACACTTTTTCACAGAAGAAAGTGACGATAGATTTATTTCATATACTTTTAGTCGATCAGTCCTCTTACAAACAGTCCTGGCAACGATATCGGCTGCATATGTGTTACGACAAGCCATTATTACCGTGCAATTTTTACTGCTTAAGCAGCGCGTCATTTCCTGTCCAATTCCACTATTTGCGCCCGTTATTAAACAGGTTTTATTCGTCAAGTCAATATCTTTCATAATCTAAAAACATTTTTATATTTTTTCACACTACTTAGCCTAAGCGTTATCACCCATACTATATTATAAAGAGTATCAGAAGTGACTTTTTACCACAAAATAAGAACAGTGCTTTGACTAATGTAAAGACTAAATAATAACCAATTTAAAAATACTATACTGATCAAAGTGACTAGCGTAGCCATTGACAGCAGGGCACAGTAGGGCACGTGCCCCACGGTGGATGCTGTAATCGGTAATCGTAACAGGATCTTTGCAGGGTTTTGATAAAATTCATTTCTCTTAAATAAATAAAAAGCTGCTTAATGCTGCTACAATGCTCAAACAGCTACCAGTGAAGCTAAGCTATTTATATTTATTTACCGTATTTCTACCAAAAAAAGGTGGCAGCTCTTGAATACTGTATTGGTCCACAGGAGTCTTTCTCACAACGCCACGCAAACTATTGGATATTTAAAAAAAACTCACCTCGTTAGAAGTTGGTTGTAAAATACCCATATTCTGTATGATTTCACGAATGAAGTCGACATAATTATGATATAAACTCTTAGTCGTAGTGAAGGCATATTGTATTTCCACTCGATTATATATATAAGAAGTTCTGCAACTGACATAATCTTTTTAAGAAATTAAGGGGGCAAACGAGCAAATTTTTCACCTGATGGAAAGCGACTACCACCGCCCATGAACATCTGCAACTCGAGGCCACGGCGTTTCCGGCGTTGCATTGATGATGTATTGATCTACGGAACTTGCGTATATGTAAATTATGTCACAAAACTAGAACTCAGTTGTATTCTGTTTTATTAAAATAAACATGAATTCGTTTGACTGATTTTTTCTTTGCTTAAGCGTTAATAATTGTTCAAAAACGTGTGAATTCTTGATAAAGCTCATAAAAATATACATAATAAAAATATAAACATGTAATAGCTCATTCGATTTGGAATGACATGTAATTTTTTTTATCGAAAGTATGTTATTAGCACATAGAAAATTGCAATTGTTTTTAACACATTAAGATGAAAAAAAGAGAGCACTTCGTTTTTTGTTAATACCTCAAAAATTATTAACATTTAAGGAATGTCAAAAAAAGATCCTTAAAAAAGAGGAAATTTCCAAGAAAAAAGTTCCGACTTTCAAAACTCCATCTCTATTATTTATAATTTTAATTCAACGCCCAAAATAGGGCTCCGCCCAGCCGTAACGACATAGGCCCACTACCGCTAAAGACAGTGTACCACATAAAATATATTTTTTAGTAACAAATATTAATTTAAAAAATTGAATAAATTATGATATCATCTAGACACTTGAAAGAATAAATCTCCGTTGGTAAAAATGTTTAAGAATTTTTTTAAAAAATCTACTACCACTACTAAGACAAGAGAGTAGGATCACAACCTCTCCCCGAACATTGAATTAAGATTAGACGAAGAAAAGGAATAATAATATTTAGCGTTTTTCGAAAACCACTTAAATGAGGCAAATCTGCGGTACTTTCAGTGCACTCTTTGGCTACATTGATTTTAAAATTTAACTAAATTCAGTCGAATGAGCTACTTTAAAGTTAGGTTTGAAAACTCTGAGAACCAAAAAGGTAATGGTTTTGACTTGTAAGTATTGCTTAAATAAACCAAAAGAGATACTGGATGTTTTCATCTAAGTTCTATGTACACTACCAGGGGAAAGATGTTTTTTTTATTTTAGATTTAATAACTTTGAGCTTGGTTTTCCTAAATCCTATCATCAACTTACCGATGAAACAAGAAACGATACATGGTTTAAAATAGTAATAAATAATAGACTGACACTTAAGAACATAATACGTACACTTTCGTTGTAATGTTACTTTTTTCAACTGTCAAAAATATTTTTAATTGTATCCCGATTTTACCAGCCTGAAAATATGTAGAAAAAATTATTAACGTATCTAAGTATTCTATGTAATAATAACCTACATTCACTTCCGCCTCCAAATCCCTCGGGGGAGTACCGGCCAATGCGCACGCCGCCTCCGTCGAAACGGTGCGGTAACCGCGTATGGCTCTAACCGCCAATATCCTCTGAGGGCGCAAGTGGCGTGCCCTATTCTAGGCGGTCAGAGCCGCCGCCCACACCATACAGTGCCATTGACTGGACAACCCCCGTGTACAGCCGTCTCGTTGCGACGCTAATACTTCATCTGGGCCTGAACCGGTACGAGGACCGAGTTGACGACGATTGAGGCGCCAGGGGGAGGACCACGACGGGGCCCATGAAATAAGAGGGCCTCGGGCTTGTCCAGGGCCATCCGTAAGCCGAGCGCCTCAATGCACTCGACCACCAGAGAGACTCCCATGATGGCCAGACGTGCCGCCTCTTGGAAGTTCACGCCCCGGTCTGTGACCAATGTATCATCAATTACACCCAGCCCGGGGGGAAAATCGGCTCGAAGGGCCCAGTCGTACCCTATGTTCCATAGGAGGGGTCCAAGAATAGACCCCTGCGGAACACCGCACGACATGGGCCGACATTTCAAATTACCATCTCGGTCCTCGTACACGACAGTACGCTCCTCTAAATAATCTGCCACCAGCCGCCTCAGGTACTCTGGCACCCCATGATAGTTGAGGGCTTCCCTGATGCCGCTGAATGGCAGACTATTGAATGCGTTGGCGATGTCCAATGACACCGTCAACAGCACGCCGCCACAGCTCCCCGCCGTTTCGGTCACGGCTTTCAAGCGCAGCACAGCGCCGACCGTCGAACGGCCCGCTCGAAAACCGAATTGGGCGTCCGACAGACAATTTCCCCTCTCAAACAATTTACCCGAATCGTTCAGCAACACGATAGGCCTGTAGGCCGCGACCGAATCGGCAGGCCGTCCCGGCTTAATCAATAGGACCAGCTTCCCGCTTTTCCAGCACTCAGGGAAATGTCCTGACGCCAAGCTGGCGTCGAACACCTCCCCGAGGTGGTCTCCCATGTTGAGGGCTAGGGCCAGCATCCGGCCGGTATCCCGTCTGGCCCAGGGACGGATCCGTAGAACAGCCGCCCCTACCTCCGAATCCCGGACGGGCGGAACATCATCCCCGTTCGGTTTCGGCCAAGGAGGCCATTGACGGGGCTTTTGCTCAGCCCGTTACCACTTCCTGCAGGAAGCTGGGCTGGAGAGTCTCCGTAAGGGGGGGGGGGCGACGAGCGGAGCTTTTGACGCACCGCGCGATAAGAGCGACCCCGGTCTCGCCGCCAGGACTGTGATCCTAGCGTTCACAAAACCGATGAGCAGTTTCCCTGTGTCACCCAAAATTTTGGCCGACGCTACGGGACAACTGACCCACACAGCGCGAAGTCGTCCAGGCTCCAGAAGCGCATCTTTGCGCACTTGGTCGGCCTGGCTATCTTGACACCATCCGTGGCTGCGAATATTCCCCGCAGCTTCTCGGCAAACGTGTCCGCCGTCTTTACGCCTTCAGCCCCCGGGAACTCGAGAACTCGAGCTCCCGTCTGGGCGAGACGCATCCTGACCCCTACCGTCCCGAAATCATTAGCGAGACTGTCCCGGGCCTTCTTGAATACGGCCGCGTACGACAGTCCGCCGTTAGCCGCCTCCGGAGATACGGTGACCACTATAGCCGCGGTTTTAGGCGGCTGCAGTTTCCGCGGCTTCTTTTTATTTGCCACCGCCGCCGAAGGCGATTGCGGAGTAGAGGCTGTGTTATTGGCAGCCTTCTTACCCCGCTTTCGGGACTTCTTAGCCGCTCCAACTACCTGCCACCCGTTGTTGGTGGGGGCAGATGTAGAGGGGCCAGGAACAGATGCCGGTGTGGGGAGTGGAGGGAACTCCACCCCAGCCCTTGCCGCAGTAGTTACAGCCCTTGTTACCGCCGTCTTTGCCGCTTTGTTGGCCACTCGTCCTGCCTTTGGTGCGATCGTAGGTGTAGACACCGATACCGCCGCTGCCGCATACGATACGCGACCACCCGCAACGGGAACCGAGGTTGGCGCTGGTGTGACCCTTCGCCTATCTGCAGCAAGCGGCGGCCGAACAACGGGGGCCGGAGGCAGTCTCGCCTCCAAGCCCGCTAGTCGCCCGTCCAGCATACGCCATGAATTTGGCGCAGATGGGCATCAGGGACGTCACAGGAACCGGGACTGGGAGTGGGGGCAGGCCGCCGCGGAGCCGAGTCCCATTTCTCAGGGCCATCCGCCTGCGCCCGGAACTGGGCGAATTGAGCACTGAAATCAGCCACCTGCTCCGTTAGGCGGTCGTCAGCGGACTTAAGGCGGGCCACATCCCCCATGATGTTCTCAACGACGAAGAGCCCTCACAAAGGAACTCTTAAGGTTTCTGGATTTGGTGGCCACTTTCTGTATAATGGCCACTGCCACGTTTGCTCTCTCCTGCAAAGACACCGGTGTTAGGGAGACGGTACTATTTTCTGCTGGCTCCCGGATCTTCTGCAGGAGATCCGCAATCTCCTCTTCCGCTGCGCTTTCCCCCTCCACTCGGGCCCGTCTATAGGCTTCCGTCTTAGAGAATACAGAGCCTGACGGGGCCGAGATTGGCGTGCGTGGCCTCCCTCTACGGCTACTACCCACTTTGGGAGGCAGCATCTCCTGGGACGTATCACTCTCTTCGTCCCTGGAGCGTCCGCGTTTCCTACTATCGCAGAGCTCCATCTCCGTCGACTCCAAGGCATCCATCGTCGTACTGGGGTTACCTCTGTCCGACGGAATGGCGGACCTATAACGTAATCGTTCAGATATCCTTCGGCTACCAGCAGCCAAATTGACTTCTGGGAGCCCTACCGAGATAGGCGTCCCAAGCAAAACTTCGTCCTCGTTAGACGAGAAGTCATTCGCTTTTCTTGCCTTGTCCTTCTTATTATTCACCTTCTTTTCTTCCTTTTTATTTGTTTTATTTATAATTGATTCCATATTTAAACCCACCAAAACCCAGTGGGGGAGAAATAAAAGTCGACCCGGGCAGAGATCCCCCAATACCCGGGCAAGCGTAAATTTGTGCCCAACCGAGGGGTCCACAAGTACCTCGGCCGGGAGTGCGCTTGCGACTGAACTACCCATCAGCCATGCATCCCCTGGCCACGCACCAGAACTCGAGATTCGGAGTATTTTTTTAAAGAGGTTTTCTTCCTCGCAGTCCGGGCGGCTAAGCCAAGAGCCTCGCCCCCAATTAGAGTCGCGCGACATAACCACGACAATCCTTTCGGGATTACGATGTGCCAACGGTTGCAAGGAGACTTAGCCCCCGTAGTCTGTTCGGTGGCAGTCTAAGTGCTCACTGAACCCGTAGTCGTTTCTCCACTTTGGACAGAGGAGCAACTATCGGTGACCCAAGAAGGGCCCCACCGAGTATCCATCTTAGTCTGGAGTCTTCCTCTGAGCCAATCCGGCATGAGTGACTTTACCGGCATAGCCTTAGAGATCACTGACCCGCGCAAGCCCCCCCCACGACGTCAACGTGAGGATACAGTTGGGGAGGACACCTTTACCCCCTCTCCCATCTTCCAGTGCCGCAGATTGCATGGAGACTAACTGAAATAAAGAGGCGCTGGGGTTTACAAGTTCTAACGACTGTCCTCGGGTTGAAAAAGAGGCTCATAGTAAGACTTTCAATAACAAATTTAAAAATTTAATTTTTTACCACTTCTTGTAGGTACAGTTAAAAAATATTGTATTTAGTAAGATTTCTTTAGAATACAAAATTAAACAAGGTAGATTCAATTTGCACAGACTGGATATTGTCAAAAAATTTGAGTTGTACTACTGTTAGTTCACTTTTTAATAGCCTTGTTAATTATGGATAGTACTTGTGTCAATACAAATTTTGTCATAATGCAATGGAATTGTCAAAGCTTAAGGCCGAAATCCTTATCCTCTCGAAACTCTTTTAATACAAGAAAAGGTACACATTGCAGTCCTAAGTGAGACTTGGCTGGAGCAAGGAAGTGCTTTTCGTATAAGCAATTTCAAATATATATTTAGATCTGATAGATTTGATGGATATGGAGGGGTTGCTATATTAATACACAACGCCATTCAGTGCAACACATGTTTAACTAATAGCACTAATCAGGACATAGAACTAAGAGTAAGTAAGAGTTTTTAACTGCCCTTTTACACTGACTGTTCAATAATTGTGCACGCGCGCCCCTTTGCGACTGCCACTGTTTACAATAAATTATCATACATAATATAAAGTACTCTGTACAACGATGACGTCACAAGTAGTCACGAGTTGAAATAGAAGGATCATGGAAGTTCCGTTAAAAAGGTATATACCTACAGTCAAAATTACAGAAAAGAATGGGAAAATTTCGAGGAGTTGAACTCCTCGAAATTTTCATTGTTTCACAATTGTCATTATTTTTTATTATTATTTAAAAGAGACAACACCCGCATTAGGAATATATCCTGTGTAGCGGGGAACTTTACAAACATACATGAAACAGACACAAAGGACACCCAGACTCAGAATAACAATTGGTGAATCACTCAAAGTGTCGTTCCATGTGGGGATCGGACCCACAAAATTCAGCGTAGTAATAAGCGTCTTACCGATTGTTTAAATCACTATGCCATCTGTGCTGTCGACCTTTACCCACGTAGTGACTCCACAAAAGCATTTTGTAGCTATTGCCACTCAGAAATGTATGCAAAACTGACTGATTTAAAGAAGCATTTAGAAACTAAAAAACATAAAGCTACAAGTCAATTGATTTCAAAAATAAGCAAATGAAATTATTCACAGGCCCATTGAAGATTTGTAAGCCTTCAGCAAGAGCTGAGTGTACCTTAACTTTGTATATTACCGGACAGTATGACTGCAGCTATGTATTGGTTTTTAAATGCGAAGTTATTCACGATTGTCTGACTGGCGAGTTCTAGCGGATTTTAGAAGAATTTTAAAAAGCATCTAGCGACTTTTATTTTTGTTTAACGGCAACACTGTGTCAAAGTGTCAAAAGTCTCATGAAAACAAAACAAAGTGCAACAAATACAAAAGCGAAAGAAAATACCTACTTATAAATGATCATACAGATTATTTCAAATCAGAGTTTTAACAATGGATAAATCTAGTAAACGACGTTATTCGTCATCCAGTTCCGACAGTGCTGAGGAAACCCGTAAAAAGGATCTTAAAGAGCGCGATGAGTTTGCTAAGAGATTAAAAAAACGCGATGAAGAAAAGACGAAAAAGATTGCTGAAGCTTCCAGCAAGAGGTCTTATGAAGAAGCTGCAAAGCGCTTGAAACTAGAAGCCCAAGACAGGGAAAAGCTATTGCCAAAATTGCGTATTGACTCTCGTCGGAAGTATTTGGAAAAGAGAAAAGAGGACAAAGTTATTGAATTGGAAGCCGATATAGCTGACGATGAATATCTTTTCGATGAAAACACGTAAGTTTTACATATCTATATTACAAGTGTAACTTTTTCTGATGCACTAAGCAGTTATCCATTTGTATAATTAAAAAAAGATAAACCTTGAAATAACTCAGTTTCTCTTCCTAAACTGTGCCTAGTTAGTAATAGAACTTTGCATGAATATGACAAAATGACAACTTTTGAAAATAACCTTTATAATTTAAGATTAAAAAAAAAACAAAATGTTTATCACAGTCCCTGCAACTATAACCTAACAATAAACAAATAAAGAAGATCAAATGTACAAAATGTCTTCTCCTCCATCTGATGTGGAGAGGAGAATTCAAAGGACAGCAACACTTTTTAGACTCTTAGTTGCACGTGTCCACTGGCAGCGGTAGTCACTTACCATCAGGTGACCCGACTTCTCGTATGCCCTCCTATACCATTAAAATAAACTATCATTGGTATGACTTTCCATTAACGTCTGTTGAATTGAATTCGAGTTTGTTTCTGTATTTATTTTGAAACTGCAATGTCTCTGTTTAAAGAGCAGCCTCTACACCCTCACGCCTAGGCGGAGACTGCTCTCCCTACGCGCCTCTGGCCCTATAAAATACTATAGGGGTAGGACAGACTCATACCAGGTGGAGTTGGATCAACCAATTCGGTTGTTTGCCATAAGTCAAACATAACCTATTGGTTTTGGTTGTGGGCTCCTATTTACGCATTTAGACTCGAGGGCGATCCTTTATGCGTTTAGAAGAGGTTGGCTAGGTGCGCCAACCAAGCTCCTACCAGAAGATTCATGGGGCGTTCACAGGCTTCTATGAGCGTAAAAACAAAAGTACCAGGTATGGGAGTTGCCCATTGTGAGGCCACTCCCTCACATTCTAGGATTACGTGGGCGGCCGTTTCTTCTGCTCTCAGGAATCCTCTGCAAAGAGGACTGTCTGCTGCATTGGTGCAAGGGTGAATAGTTGTCGGTTCAGAGCTAGGTGTCTTGTTATGGTTCCTGCAACTATTTGGATATCTAGTCTGCTAAGACCGATAAGTCTGCAAGTAAGTCGTAGTGAGTCTTCAGTCAGCACCAGTTTGGACTGTCTGCAGCCAGGTGGATTTTTCCACCTTCCGTTGTGCGCTTCACGAGTACGTCTAACCCAGGACAGGATCGAAGTTGGTTAAAAGACAGTGGCAGGAGTGTGGTTGGGCCGGCAGCCGAGGTTGCTGAACATCATTCCCGTGTGAATTACTATGCCCTTTAATCCATTTGTTGGGGCAAGCTGCTCCAATGCTTGATGGCATTCGAAGACTATACCAGAGGTCATTGTGTCTCCCTCTGTGGTGCCCTCCAGCGTGCCTCTAGGACGGCCATACTGTCTGACAGTATATGGATGTTGTAGTCCTTAGTACCCTTTGACACGGCCGTTGTGGCGGCGTTAGTTATTGCCACACATTCGCATTGGAATATGGAACTGTGTTGGCCCAACACTAGTGATATGTTCATGTTTAGATCTTGTGAGAAAACTCCGGCTCCAGTTCTTGACCCAGTCTTGGTACCATCCTTGTAAATTCAGACTTTGTTTATGGCAGATTGATCACGGTCATTATCTTGTGTCAGAATGTGATATCTCCTTGTGAAGATATAGTGTTTTGGGATCCTGTCGCATGGGGCTGCTAATAGTGGCTCAATTTGGGGTGCCTAGCCTCTTATATATTTGTAATCTGCGGACATCAATGAAAAGCTATATATCTATTATTCTTTTTATATTTTAGGAGATATCTATCATTATTCTTTTTATATTTTAGTCTTACAAAACGGGAAAGGCAGGAGAGAGAACACAAAAAGACCATCCTTAAACTTGCTAAGGAACATGAGAAAGCCCGTGAATTGGAAAATGTTCATAGGTATCATATGCCACAAGACTTAGGTAAAGATGCCAAAGGTATGTTACATATTTAATTATAAAGTAGACCCATTGATATTGACATTGCCAAATAATATGATATGGGACATTTCACATGATGGCATGACAAAAAAAGTCAGGTTTGAAATTGGTACCTATATTACTTTTTTTAAATAGAGACTACAAAAAAATATGTTCATATTTATACAAACTATAATATTTTTGCTCTTCTATCACAACTTTTCACACCAAACCTACCCATGTATATATTTATATCTAAGATCCATCTGTCTATTTATTGTATTTTTGTTTGTTCATCCAAACAAAAAACATTCTAGCTACTAACACTTAGATTTAAAATATTTACTTCCTAAAACCTAAATATTAACTTTTATTTTAAAACAGGTAAAAAAAATATGTACCCATTTAAAATATGATTTGATTTCATTGTAAATAACTTTAATATGGAAAACAATTTCCAAGGTTGTCTTTAAACTAACCGGGTCAATTCTTAGGACCTCCCCTGTTTCAGAACCTTACATTTCTTGTCATCCACTTCAATTCATATAACAAAATACAGTGTCACACTTCCTAGTTGTTTTCAGGAGAATATATTGAAGTTGATGAAAATGAAAAAGTACCACATTCAGAGCAACAAAAGTGGGAGCAAGAACAAATTAAATCTGCATTTTTCAAATTTGGTGCTAAAGATGCCAAAGGACAAGACGAGTATGAATTGCTACTGGATGAGCAAATTGATTTTATTCAAGCTCTTCAGCTGGATGGAAGTAAAGACAAAAAAGAACAAGAAGAAAAGTCAGCACATCAAAAAATTAGAATGTCAATTGAGGAAACTAAAAAGTCTTTACCAGTATACCCTTTCAAAGATTCTCTCATAAAAGCTATTAACAAATATCAAATAATGATTGTGGAAGGTGAAACCGGCTCTGGTAAAACCACTCAAATACCACAATATCTTCATGAGGCTGGCTTCACCAAAGATGGGAAAAAAATTGGATGCACACAACCTAGAAGAGTAGCTGCAATGTCAGTATCAGCTAGAGTGGCGCAAGAGATGAATGTGAAACTTGGTAATGAAGTTGGTTATAGTATCCGATTTGAAGATTGTACATCTGATAGAACTGTTATAAAGTATATGACAGATGGTACATTACACAGAGAATTTTTATCAGAACCTGACTTGGCATCTTATAGTGTAATGATCATTGATGAGGCCCATGAGCGCACACTGCACACTGATATCCTTTTTGGTCTAGTGAAAGACATTACTAGATTCAGACCTGATTTAAAATTGCTCATATCAAGTGCCACCTTGGATGCTGAAAAATTTTCGAGTTTCTTTGATGATGCACCCATTTTTAGAATTCCTGGAAGGAGATTTCCAGTAGATATCTACTATACAAAAGCTCCTGAAGCTGATTATGTTGATGCTAGTGTGGTATCAGTTTTACAAATACATGCTACACAGCCTCTTGGAGATATTTTAGTTTTTCTTACTGGGCAGGAAGAAATTGAAACTTGTGTGGAAATGTTACAAGAAAGAACAAAAAGGATAGGCAAAAAACTAAAGGAACTTATTATACTGCCTGTTTATGCAAACTTACCCAGTGACATGCAGGCAAAGATATTCGAACCAACTCCAGAAGGTGCTCGTAAAGTTGTACTGGCAACTAACATTGCTGAAACTTCTTTAACTATTGACAATATTATATATGTCATAGACCCTGGATTTGCAAAACAGAATAATTTCAACTCGAAAACTGGCATGGAAAGTTTAATGGTTGTACCTATTTCTAAAGCATCAGCAAATCAAAGAGCAGGCAGAGCTGGTAGAGTAGCTCCAGGAAAGTGTTTTAGGCTGTACACAGCTTGGGCTTATAAGTACGAGCTTGAAGATAATACTACGCCAGAAATACAGAGAATCAATTTAGGCAATGCTGTACTAACATTGAAAGCTTTGGGAATAAATGACCTCATTCATTTTGATTTCTTGGATCCACCACCCCATGAGACGTTAGTTTTAGCTTTAGAACAGTTGTATGCACTAGGAGCTCTTAATCATCATGGGGAATTAACTAAAGCGGGGCGAAGAATGGCTGAATTTCCCACTGATCCAATGCTTGCAAAAATGTTACTAGCCAGTGAAAAGTGAGTGCATAATTTTACTTTTGTACATTTATACTATTCAGTTTAAAGAAAACAACACTTACTTTTGCAGTTACAGTTTATTATACTCTTTTTCATCACTATTATTATATATGCTCTATAAGACCTCTCAACGTTTTTGGGTTCAGCTTGAGATCTTAGAGTGTTAGATGTCGCTGTATAAAGTTCTTTATAAGGTTTTCGAATATAATACTGTAGATACCTATTGCTTACTTTCCTTGTCACTTGACGCAAACTCGACAATGCAAAACAGTAATTTTTTGCAAATGTGTTCGTTTCGGTTTTCAGCATTTCTCTTTCGCCCTTGTCAATTTTTTTTGTTTAATTACCTATCATATTTTTTATTTAGGCATTGTTTATATTCTAACACTTATCTTTCTTTGCTTTTTATTTTAGGTACAAATGCTCAGAAGAGGTAGTCACAATAGCAGCAATGTTATCTGTAAATAGTTCAATATTCTACAGACCAAAGGACAAAATAATACATGCTGACACTGCTCGGAAAAATTTCTTCCATCCTCATGGGGACCACTTAACTTTAATGAATGTATACAACCAGTGGCTTGGCTCAGACTACTCGGTGCAGTGGTGTTATGAAAATTTCGTACAATATAGATCTATGAAGAGAGCACGTGATGTCCGTGAACAACTCGCTAGCCTCATGGAAAGAGTAGAAATAGATATGGTATCTAGCATAAATGAAGATGCTAATATACGTAAAGCAATAACTGCCGGTTATTTTTATCACATAGCGAAGTTTTCCAAAGGAGGGCATTATAAGACTGTAAAACATAATCAAGTAAGTAATTTTCACTTGTATAAATATACATATTTTTATGTAGCACAACTTTTAAATCTGCTATTGGTCCTTTCTGTAACAGAAATCTTGCCAAACGTGATACAGTAGGTACTTTAGTTTACACATTACCAAATTTTTAGAACTCCAACTAAGATTTGTGAAATCAATATATTTTTGTTCTTAATTATACCCTACCACACCGTTCATCCGATCATTGCTGGGGATCCCTATAAGATATAGGGTACCATTATTCAGAAAACCATAGTCCATAAAAAATACCTGTATGATCTTTTGCTGAAACCATTCAGTAAGTCAGTCAGTCAGTCAGTGAGTCAGTCAGTCTTAGTAATATTCCGATAAAAAATAAAATTAATTTCTTTATTTCAGACTGTTATGATTCACCCCAACAGTGCATTATTTGAAGAGCTTCCGCGCTGGGTCATCTATCATGAATTAGTGTTTACTTCAAAAGAGTTCATGAGGCAAGTTACTGAGATAGAAAGTAAATGGCTTTTGGAAGTTGCACCACATTATTACAAGGCTAAAGAACTAGAGGATTCCACTAACAAAAAAATGCCGAAAACTATTGGGAAATCATCCAATAGTAGATAAAAAATATATTTTTAATACCTACATATTGTTTTTTTTTTGCTATAAACAGATTTTTTGTCTTACAAAAAAAGTTAACAGGGTAACAGATGAGAGGATGTAGACATATGATTTTTCGTATGTAGGTTAGGGTTGCTAATAAAGAAATGGGTAATGACAACCCACCCTGGAGACTATCTACTTTGTACAATCTAATGGAGGTAGGTAATCTAAATGCAACTGATTGTGAGTCCTGACAACATAACATGAACGGGCATTCTAGGTATTTGTAGATGCCGATATCGGTAACGGAACACTGTTCTTCAGTGTGTTCCGTCACTTGTTGCCAATTGTTATAATAATATAAACATTGAATAAAATAATAATTAAGTGACAATGTTGCTGACACCCTTTTTTATTTTTGCTAGCCGTATCCTGCCACGCGTTAGCTTTTTTTTATGGAATAGGGGGCAAACGAACAGACATGTCACCTGATGGAAAGCGACTACCGCCGTCCATGAACGCTTGCAACTCGGGAGTCACAAGCGCGTTGCCGGCCTATGAGTAAGGAGTACGCTCTTTTCTTGAAAGTTTGAAGGTTGTCGTATCGATCCGAGAAAACCGCAGAGAGAAGGCGGTTGTTTATGTGAGACAAAATGTTACTCGAAAAGCGCGCAGTAGTTAAGTGCCAATTATCCAAGTGGTAGGATTCAAAAGGGAAAGAAATGGGAAAGAAAAAACTGATGTGCAAAAATAGATAAAAACCATGTTTGAAGGAGGTTGTTGGTTTGTGTCAAAATTGGAGTTCAATCGGTACAGAACTTTTTGAGTTTTTCAATTCACAAACCAACAACATTTTTATAAAAATTGATAACATTTTAATGACACAATTTTCATGCTGGCCCAAGAAATGGGGATTAAACTTACACACCGTATTAGGTCTTCACATATGAAATTGACGTTTTGTACGGGTGGAATATAAAATCAATTTTTTTTTGTAAAATATATGTATCTAATTAATCAAAGTATGCACCGTTGCTATCTATGCACTTTTGCCATCTCATAGGTAGTTCATTGATCCCTTTACCAAAAATCCCATGGGGTTGAGAATCAATAAACTCTTTGAAGGCGGTTTGGACTGCCGCATCGCAGTAGATTTTTTCTTCCTTGAAGAAGTTGTCCAAATTCCGGAAAAAATGGTAATCTGTTGGAGCAAGGTCTGGGGAGTACGGTGGATGTCGCAGACATTCCAATTGTAGCTCGTCTAACTCAGTGGTTGTTTGTTTTGCTGTGTGTGGTCTTGCGTTGTCGTGAAGCAGCAGTGACCTAGAGCGATTGACCAATCTCTATTGTTTAGCAGCTAGTTCTTCCTTCGTGGTTTGCAGTTGCTGACAATAGATATCTGCCGTAATCGTTTGTCAGATTTTAGAAAGCCGTAGTGAACAACAACGGCGCTAGTCCATTAAACACTCACAAGTAGTTTTTTCTCAGTCAATTTTCGTTTAGGGTTCAGCCATTGCGACGAGCGCTTCCGAATATCGTTCAGTATCCACTTTTCATCACAAGTAATGATTCGATTTAAATCCCCTCATTATTGTGTCAGTTGAGCAAAGTAACACAGCAGTTGACGCATGTTTGCAAGTTCGATTGACTCAAGTCATGAGGTACCCATTGTTCAAGTTTTTTTACTTTCCCGATTTGCTTTAAGTGGATTAATACAGTTTTATTACTTACCCTGAAGCCTGCAGCTATCTCTGAAGTGCTTTGTGATGGATCCGCTTCTATAGCATTTAATTCTTAATTTTCCACTTTAGTCTCCAGCCGTCCACAGGGTTGGTTCTGAAGGTTGAAATTTCCAGAACAAAAACGTTGAAACGAAAAACGTACCGTGCTTTCTTTTGCGACACCAGCGCCGTACACATTATTAATCCTTCGAGCTGTTTCTGCAGCACTGGTGCCACGGTAGAACTCGTACTCGTGAATATATTTCATGTTGTCCATTGTGCGGTAAAAAAGCGACGCCAAAGCAAAAAAAAATATGAGGAAAAAACAAATGAATGACTGTTTTAAAAACACAAATGTACCAGCTAAATGAATTTATAAATTTGAATTTGGAATTCTTAACCAGAGAAGAGATATTACAGATCAAATGGTCAGTACGACAAAACGCTAATTTCATATGTAAGGACCTAATATATACTATACTAATTGGTTTAACCTATAAAGGGCAAAATTGATTAAAGTATTAAGAAGGTAAAAAAGGGGGTGTATTTACAATTTTTAATATTTACTTTTATGCACTACATAAAAAATAAATTATTATATTTATAATACAGACAATTGTATAAATAATGCAGCTTCTAATAAAAGCATTGAAATTCTAATGGTAGTACTAAAACTTAATGTAAATTTTAAAAATCTGAACATCTTCCTTTTCTTTCCCAATCCCCATATCTTGTCGGTTCTGGTCCCCTTGGACCTCCTATTTCACCTGTATGTGGATTTGTGTTGTTTGGCCAAGCAGGCAAGGGATCATCTTTTACTTGTGAAGGATGTAATTGTTGTTCTCCAAGATCATCAATTGGTGTAGTCTCCCTCAGTTTATTTCTAAACTCTTCCAGTCTTTTAGATTGAGGCTTCTTTGGTTGATTGCCAGGCTTATCGATATCAACGTCATCAGCTGTTATTTTCTGAGAATGTTTGCAAATGGATAATGCACTGATGGACAACTCTGGAATTTTAATAATTGTGATTGTATTTCTAACTTTTGGTAATTTTAAAATATGTGTGTATGGCTTGAGTATGAGCCTCATAAGCGAAACTGTTAAGTTGAGTAATTTTAATGCTGTATTTAAAAAAAATGTATAAAGTTCTCAGTGATGAAGCTGACAGTAGATATTGCAAATTTTACCACAATTTGAGTACTTACGTTTAGGATGAATACGCATTAATTTGTTGATTATGTACATTATAAATATTGAAAACACCAATAATTCCAACTATGTAGTTCTAAACGTTCAGATTAAACAATCAAAAATACCAACTATTTGACATTCATGACAATCAGTGTTTCTAACTCAGACTCAGACCTTAAAAAATAATGCCTAGTGACAACTGACTAAATCGATTAATGTGTAGACTGTGATCGAGTGATGATATTTAGTTTAATTTACATGTACAATTTAGTTAAATTTATACCTATATAATGCCGTACGTAATGCTGTCCGTGTAGTGACGGATTAAGAATACGGAATGTCACTACCCCAATTCATCCCGTGGGTGTCGTAAGAGGCGACTAAGGGCGCAAAACAACGCAGGACACCAGCTCTGCAAAAAGAAGGAAAACTTGTCACAAACCCTATACCAACCCGTCTGGCCAGCGTGGTATAGTAGGCCAAAACCTCCTTTCTAAGGAGAGGCCTATGTCCAGCAGTGGACTATTACAGGCTGATGATGTGATGATGATGATGATAATGCCGTACAAACAACTCACATCAATACATCATATAAGTTCGTGATGTCAAACTAAATTGTAATGTACTTCTCGCTCCCAATCATCCTGGATAATTCTTTTGGTTATATCTACTACTTTTTTCCAGTTTTCTAAGGTTACTATCTGCTATTTAAATTTTTTTTGGAAGCGGTGGTTCTAACTGTACCTTTCATTTGGAGACAGCCTAGCCTACAGGCCCCTGGGTGCAGCGCGTACACCGCACAAGGGCGGTGCTTACAAGGGGAAATCGAAACAAAAACAATAAATTCTCATAATTTTTATGCCTAATAAATTTTTATTATTTCTTGATGATCAGTGTACGAAAATAAATACAAACGTTTATGAGGGAGAAAACTACGTAAGACAACAGCACTGCAAAGAGAAGGAAACTTGAAACAAACCCTATACCAACCCGTCTGGCCAGCATGGTATAGTAGGCCAAAACCTCCTTTCAGAGGAGAGGCCATGCCCAGCTGTGGACTATTATAGGCTGTTGAAGTGTGATGTGATAAGCTTCAGATCTTCTTTACATTGAATAAAATAAAGTCGCTTTTTGTTCTTAATGCGGTTTGCACTAATAGAGAGAGTGATTTAAGAGAAAATTTTATATGGATGATACATGCACATTATAGTAAAGAAAATCTGAGGATTTGTAAGATTTGTAAGCTTAAGTCGTAAAAAACATGTGTTTGTGCGCTTGCATCGCAAACGCTGGCTAAACTTTACAAGATAGCTCAAAATGATATACCACGGAAGTGTATATCTTAAAAATATCTACAAAAAAGTTTTTTATTTTATTTTATTTATTGAGTTTCTTACTCAACAACTTGTTTACATTACGCACATGATTATTGTGCCACTTACACAGTATGCTTAAGCTAATTACAGTTTCATGACATTTTGTTGGCACTTTAGCTAAGAAGTAGAAATAGCCAAAACAAAAATCTTCACGAAAACAAAAAAATAAGAGAAAAAAAACACAATACTAAACTTAAATAAAAATAAATTCTTAACCAAATACTTAACCGGTGAGTATCTTCACGATTTCGCCTTGATAGGATTACTTTGACAATATAAATATGTAAAATAATATAAAATACACAATACAATATATAATATCTATACTTTCGAATCTCTCAGTGTATGTGTGAATGGTCATAATAGCATTTCTACCATAATTGGTGCGATGGAAAGGTACGTTAACAAATGCGTATGTCTAGTCCGTGATTTTCGCGTACCTTATTCGACAGCTGGAAGTAGCTCACAACAGTCAAGCCCACCAAGCAGAATATCAAAAAGTAGCAACATATCTAGCATCATAAGCCTGTCATTAAGGGAAAGCAGGTGATAGTGATTACTGTCAACGGAGTAGTGATCATGGCGTTTCTTACATTTAAAGTTCAGGCATCTTACGAAACTCTTCTGTAAATTCTCTGTCTGCGTCAGTCTGCAAAGGAAAGGGTCCCGTGCTGTGCCCACTCGACGATGACCGGCTGGAGCACCTCCACGGCGACAAAACAAGCACGTGGAGCCTCCAGCCAGGATGATCATGTAGTTATGACATAATAAAGTTATAACAGACATGCAAACAATGAGAAAGTTTGGTTTTCGTTTCGATCTCTTTTTTCTTGCCGCCCCTTTGAAAATGCTGCCCGTGTGCGGTACACGCTCTGCACCCCGTACCCGGTGTCCCTGCGCCGAATGTCGTTATTAACCATAGCCGGTGAAAAGAAAATGGGGCCTTCTTCTTTAGCTATCGTCGTAACGTACAATGTCTGCAGGTCCCAGTCCTGCGTTTCGCTCATCAGCGCCACGTCGATGTATTATTCCTGTAGGAGTGGGTGAAGGAGCGTGACCTTGCGTGCCAAGCCGCGGGCATTCCAATGAAGCACCCTCAATGGTGTTCTATCCGTAGCGGGAGATTAAATCCGCAACACTGAGGTCCTGGTGTCGGAGCGTGATGCTGGTTGGTGCTGGTGGTCATGGTGACGGCAGCGGTGGTCGACGTCGGTAGCCCTCACAAAGGCTTTTTGGGTCGACAGGCACGCGAGCGTCGTATACTGAACGGATCGCACGGGAGCGCACATTCCATCCGGGACCTGCGCGTGAACAGTGGTCACCGAGTGGTCCACTTTGCCTGTCCGTGCCCGCATTGCTAGCCTGCGGGCGAGGAGCTCCGTAGTTGATGTAGTGAGCGTATAGTGTGTATAGTAGTGACCATAGTACTTGATAAAAATAATACTAAGAACCCCTGGGGTCGAGGCGTGGCTGGTCATGTGAACTCATTCAACTCAACTCATAGGGTAAACTCAATAAATTCAATTAAATTTGACATTTCCAAAAAAAAAGTGTCTACCTTTCCATAGAAAATACTAACACTAGACTAGAGAGGACCACTATAGGTACAATCTACAAAAAATATAGTCTGTGGACATGACAAATGACATGTGGTAATTTGACATTGACAGCGTTATGTACCTCTGCCAATTGTACCTACATCCTGTTTTCATACAAAAAATTGTGCAGAATACTTAATAGAATGATAAAAATATAAAATTAATAGATTTCATTATAAAAGGTAATGCTTAGTAGGTGTTTGCTAAAAACCTTTTTTAGTCACCGAGAAGTTATTACAAATATAAAAATGGCTAAAAGTACTTTTGAGTACGTAAAAAATTTCGAAGTTGATGACACTCTTTTACCCAACACCTGGATTGTAGTAAGGTTAGATGGAAAGTGTTTTCATAAGTTTTCCGATGATCACAACTTCGCCAAACCCAACGATATAAGAGCTTTGAAACTAATGAATTATGCTGCATTTACAATCCTTAGAGAGTTCAATGATGTGTTAATGGCTTTTGGACAAAGTGATGAATACTCTTTTATCTTTAAAAAACAGACCACACTACACAAACGTCGTTCTGCAAAGCTTTTGACAACTATGACCAGCAAGTTTACTTCATCTTACGTATATCACTGGGAAAAATTCTTTGAAAATGATTTGTTAAAATATCCTCCAGCGTTTGATGGTCGTGTGGTTTTATATCCCAGTGACGAAAACTTAATAGATTACATGAAATGGCGCCAAGCTGATGTGCACATTAATAATTTATATAATACATCATTTTGGACACTAATTCAAAAAGGAAAGCTTAGTCCATCACAGGTAAATTTATTAAGGTTACTACACTACATGTAGCTAAATAGCTGTATTTACCAACATGGGATTAAACAAACCACCTACTGCATGTAACATTTCTTAAATCAAATGTATTGTACATAATAGCAAATAATATGTTAATGAGATCTTGGGCTACATATTCAATAGAACTTCTACACCTCTGCTTGTTTACAGGCTGAAAAACGTCTATGTGGGACTGTATCTGCAGATAAAAATGAAATATTATTTCAAGAATTTGGAATAAATTACAACAATGAACCTGAAATATTCAAAAGAGGCACCTTACTAATGAGACAGAATATGTTATTCAATAATAAAGCTAAAAATATTATAGTAGATATACATGATGATATGTTAAAAGACAAATTCTGGAAGCAGCATTCAAGTTTATTATCGTTAAAACAAAAGGAAATTAATTTGTATAATGGTCCAACTACAGATATAATAAGTGAACAAACTAGTTTAATTATAGAATAGCAATAATTTCATGCAGTGTTTTATTTTTACATTAGGCTTCACTCACCTTAATACATCCCTGAATAACAGTACTATATTCTGGGTGAAAGACACACTTTTCTCTCCTGTTGTTTTATGTAATAGGTTCGAATTGAACTGGATCTGAATTGTATCTCTCTTGCTTGCTCTACCTACTATTACGTAACTTAAACATGCACAAAATAGCTAGAGGGAGAAGTAAAAGACACACACACAAACATTTTAAAGATAATTGGAACTTTTGATGCTGTTTAGATTCTTGACTTTTTTATCTGTTAGCAGCAATGTGAAATGTTGAAGTCCAACTAACTGAAGTTTAACAGGTGGAACACAGTTGTACAGCATTTTTTTACAGAACCAAACCCATGACAAGATCAAGCAACACAGTTAAAACATGTTAAATCCAGATTTTGATGATATATTAAGGTACTGGAATGCATAGCCTGTTTATGGTGTAGATAGAAAAATGACAGTTAACAGCCACCTGTGTTAGTTATTTAACAGTTTTGTGCTTTTTGGCATCATACCCATTCCTTGAGGAATTGGGGGTCTTCCACATACTTCTGAAAAGCTTGTTTCTGGCTGTTACTGAACTGGACTTGATTGCTTTGAATCGTGTTCAAAGAACCTCAATTTTGTAAGAACTTTATTTTATGAAGAAACAATCGAAACAAGATATAGATTACTATGAATACTTTAATCAACATTTAATAGGTTTTTTAACAATTTTAAATAGGCAGACATGCTGCAAAGTAAAGCCATCCATTAATAAATAGGTAATAGAGGTGTGTCCTATGTACATTTAAGTGTATACAACTTCAAAAATTTTGGTTGGAGTACATAGCTCCAACAAAAATATTAAGAAAAATTATGATTTTTAGCTTACATTTTTCTTTTGATAATATATCATATTTTACTATAACACTGAATATTATAACAATTCTTAACTAATATATAAGAATTTTACAATCATCACATAGATGCAATTATGTAATCAAACATTTGTCACCCTGAATAAAAGGAAAGTGCACACTAAATATCGGTAAAATATTATTCATTGGCTAAGTAATTTTTTGTTAAAATCGAAGATTTTATACAAGGTACAGTGTGATCCCTTTTTTTTTTTTGGGGAAGAAATTATACATTATATTCAAAGGCAAAACCCAATAAAAGACTTAAATCATTGGATGGGCCCTGTCTCACTACTTCTATGATAAGACTCCTACAACACTTACGACTTTGTTGACATTTTTTCAAATATTGGTACACTTTCTGAAGGAATGAGAGAATATCTTAACAACTGTTTGCAAACTGCAAAAAGTTGTTAGAATATTGTCTATGTAAATACCATTATTGTGCATTTGACATTAATTGTCATGAAATTAATGCAATATTATTATTATTATATTTTATTGTCATATTCATATGTCTGTTAATTGAGGACTCTTCCAAAGATTTCAATCATTAAATCTATATAACCTTTTTAAAATAAACTATTTTCTACAATATCTACATTAAACAGTATTTTTGTAGACATATACATATTTAATCTGTTGTGTTTAGTATAAGAGAATAATATATACAGAGCAAAATAATTATTTCAAAAGGAATTCTTAAAGTTCAAAATGATAATTGATGTTTAGAAAATAGGAATGTAGTTGTCGATCTTGGTACGGTGCTTCTGAGCCACACACTCACTTATCCATACAATGTTTCGGCATTCCTGCTCCTTCAGTTTTAAGTAAGAATAGAATACTCCAAAGTGGAATTGCTGAAGGAATGCATGCACATTGAGGCTTACCTAAAAGAAAATAATAATAATAAGGAATAATATCCTAGTTGTTTTTAAAAATATGTTTTTAATAAAAGAAAAACAGGTTAAAATAGTTAGGGTTGGGTAATGAATTTAACCCAGATAAGCCTACTGTCCCATATGTAGGACGGTAGAAATAAAAAAATATTTCAACTTACACACATATTAATAGAATATACTTAATGTATTTGTAGTAACAAGCTAATGTGCTATTAAAATAAAAATTATAAAAAGGTGCAATTATAATATATTATACATTTTATAAATACATATGGGACAGTAGGCTTATCTGGGTTAATTTTTATATATATTTTTAAACTTTTTAAAGTTGTGCATAATTTAGATGAAGGCTAAGTGAGTAGCCGTAAGAGAAGGTTATTAATGACAGGGTACTCCAACTGTTTAGACTGTTACAACAAGTTTACAATCTTAAGTATAAAAAAAGCTATTTTAATGTAATATTAAATTGTCATATACACTTTACTCATTTTACGGAAAAAAATCTTGTGCATGAATTATACTTTATTTTCTATTAAATTAGAACATCAACCGTTTAGAAAAAGCCTAGCTGTACTTAAGTACAAAAGAACATGCTTACCTCATGTTCAAAGAACTTGTCTTCCAAGGTCTTGTCACCAGCATTACTGCCAGCGCCTTCAAACAGGGCTTGGTATTCTGCATAATACTCAGCCACCGCCTTAACCTGCTCATAATCATCAGCCCTGGCAAGAGCAGCCAGTCCATCAGGATTTAGTTTACCACAACGCGGGTACAACTTAGCACGGTCGTCCTTTGACAATTCAGTACCAAAGGAGTTGATAGTAATAATGATAGCTCGACGATCAGCTTCAAACTGTAAAAAACATGTATAACTACTAATTGTTATGGTTAAATGGGTCAATGGAATGTTAAAGTATTAGTAGAGTAGTGGTGAATGTTAAGCCGTAGGTCCCAGTTGACATACAAACATCTGTGGCAATCGTTATGGGTGGTTGGAGCTCTAAAAAGTCTGAAAACACTATCTAAACTCTGATATCACCTAGGACTTCACCTAGGACTTGGGTTGTTGTGATCTGATGACACTCACCCCTCATAATAAGTGAAGTTCAACTGTGTCATAGTAGACTGCATGCCTATCCCAACCAAGTTTTAGCTAAAGGGATGTGTTTTCAATAAATTTATGTTTATGGTGTTATGTTTTCAAGAATTTTAAATTAAAAGGTTAAAAGTGCTATTAATATACTTACAGCCAAGATTTCACACATTACGTCAGCTGTAGTTCCACCAATCTGCTTGCAGAAATCATAGAATGCCTCCAAGTATGCCTTGTATAAAGTGTTACGAATGATTTCAATGTTCATCTCATCCAAATCTTGCTCACTGATACAATCCACGAAGAATGGGGCAAGGGGAGTATCCACAAGTACAGCATTGTAGAGCTCAGCTGGTGTAGCAGCAACATGAATAGCCTCCATTTGCTCAAAGGAGCCCAATGGGTGGCACTTTGGAATCAACTCAGAAATGGGTCTTTGATGCAAAGTACCAGTAATCAACAAAATAATATTGTCAATCATATAGCTGTATGTAATGAAATCCAAGAAGGTAGACAATGGTTCCACTGAGTGGTTCCTAAGATGTTGGAATTCAATAACCAATTTTTCACGTAGCTTATCATCGATGGTGGAGACGGAAAGAGGGCTGGGCTCATTAGCTAGGAAGGTACCATAATCAGTACCTTGAAGATGAAGTTTCAAGTCTGTAAAGATTGATTACTATTATATTAGACCTGTAATTAAATTACGAGTACATTTTGCAACTACATAATAGAGTTGCGTTATTTACATACCTTCTAGTGTCTCGCATTGCACCAAGTTCAAGTAGTCAGCCTGCTTGAGAATACCACACTTGAAACCACGGCACAGACCTTCTAAATAGCCACCATCGATGTTAAAAATGCACCCCTTCATTTTGCTTGAGATATTAATTCACTGAAACAGTTTAATTTTATAATAAAATTGGAATTCAAGCAATCGCGACCAGCCCAAAGACACACAGAAGAAGGAAATCAATTGAAGTTGTGATCAATGATCATATGATGTTTCCATAGACAATGACAAACTATTTCTGAACTGATTAATTTATTAAAGGATTATTTACGATTACAACCCATGTAATTATTAAATATACTAATTTTACTTACATACTATTAGACGGCATATTACCAAATTGCTTTAAAAAAAGGGTTCTACAAAAAATTAAACCTTGAAAAATTGTCGTTGAAATCCAAAAGCTGCATTTATAAAATAGATGACTAATTAAGCCCTAGATTTAATCATGCACAGTATAATAATAGCAGTATTGTATATTTAATTACTATTTAATAAATTTGCATAGATATAATGAATTTGGATTAAATTTGGCATGGAAAGATTATAGAATCAGCAAGTCATTTTTATCACAAAACGCAACACTGCACTATTTAGGGCTTAGAATTAATTATGACTTAAATCAAATTTCTATGTAAATCTTATTGCCGATAATTAGAAAAAAATTTGAAAATATTAAAAGTGAAAACAATAAATACGAGAATCAAAATGTCCACATAGACATCGTTTTTTTAGTAATAGATTTAGTAATAAAAATAAATAACTTTAAATCTCTATTTCTTGTTTTAATTGATTTTTAATAGAATCTGAGTGACTAAGCCAAAATCATCATGGGAGGGCATGGGACAAAATTAATGTATTTTTTAAATTTTATTAAAATTAAAATAACTATAAAAAGTTAATACCTGTATCGGCTTGTATGTGGTGAATTAAATATTTAAATGAATAAATTAGAATTTGGTTCTTTTATTTTAATTGGGTGATGATGACTGATGAGCACCATAATTTGTTGTGTCTGGGTGTAATTTATCTATGTATGTATTTAGAAGTTTAGAAATATATAAGTATGTTTATCAGCAGTCTCGCTGTGGGTACAGTTTAGCCATTTACCATGGCACAAACTCTGTCTAGTTCGGGATCAGACAGTGTGGAGATTTTTTTTTTATTTGAAAAAGGACAATGAGCTGCTTATTTAGTGCTATGTATTTTAAAGCCACGACATAGTTTAACATTGTCTATGGATGGCCTGTGACGTACATTATGTCAATATTGTCAATCAATAGTCGTATACGTTGTGTTTGATAAACATTAATTTAATAGTTTAACTAAATTAGAGAGAGAGAGAAACTTAGAAGACAGTAATGGACTCAACCTATAATAATCCTATAAGACAGAGGATAAACAAGATTTTTGACAGTCATGTTGTTTCCGATAATACAGATGCATTACATTCAGTATCCGGATTTTGCTCTTCCAACTCATCTTACACGAGAAGAGTAATATTGAATGAAATAGAAAAGAAAGATATGTTAGTAAATAAAGCCGTTTTACTAGAATACAACAAGGTAAAAGATAAACTACAAGTGTTACTGGACTCTCTGTCTTCCCTAGATCTCGCAGTTAAAGATATGTCAAGCAGATTAGCCGATTCTAAAACCAAGACACATCATTTGATTACACAAACGACAAAATTAAAAGATGAAAGGAAGAAGACGGAAAAAAAACAAACATGGGTCAATGCATTTGTTCAACAATTTCAACTAACCCCAGATCAAAATGAGTATTTGTATAATGTTTCAATAAAAACACCTCTGACTGTGGAATTTTTTGGTACATTATCTCATATTGAAAACCTGTATAATAATTGTAAAACACTAATAAAGTGTTGGCATCAGACATCTGCATTTGACATAATGGAGACAGTGGGCCTCCAACAAGAAGTTGCTATTGAAAAATTATATCATTGGACTATCGGAGCATGCCTTAGCACTGATTCACCTAACAATACTTTGGTTCCCACTGCATTGGCAAAATTTCAAAATAGGCAAGTTCTTTTTGCTAATATAATAGATGAATATTGTTCAGCTCGCAAGGCTACCATAGTGCAATTATTCATCGATGCATTAACAAAGGGTACTGATGGCTATAGACCTATAGAATTTTATGCCAATGATGCTAAGCGGTATATTGGAGATATATTGACTTGGGTATACCAAGTCATACCAGTGGAAAAAGAGAATCTTTCTACATTATTCAAGTTTTGCAATATGCCTGAAAAGAACCAACTCATAGTTGAAGCTCTGACAAATATTATGGAAGCTATTTGTCCACTACTAAAAGTTAGAGCAGAACTCATTTTGAAACCTGATAAAGATCCATTAGTTCTTTGGTCCATAGCCAATCTCATTATTTATTACAAAGATGTCATACAAGCTGTGATACCAACTGGTCACCTAATCAACACATTTGAAGAATTATTAAAAAAAAGTGAAGACGTTTTTCTTATAACACTTGACAGTAAAATACAAAAAGAGTTAAGTCATGGAGTCAAAGCCCCTCCAGTTGATTTAAATCCTTCTATTGTGGTCACAGATTTAGTTAGCTTCCTCAGAGACCTTTTGGCTATAATGAATGCAGCCCATAACATCAATAATGCTGATAAGAAAATGATAATAACACATATATTGGACCCATTACTACATGCTATAAATGAAACTGCATGCCATTTAAGCTCAACTGATATGTCTGTGTATATGTTGAATTGCATTTACCATATACAATGTACCTTATCTCTGTATACGGTTATGGATGAATATAATGAGAGATTACAAGCTCAGTCTGAAGCCCAAATTGATACTTTAACATCAGAACAAGCGAGTTACTTAGTGGCAAATTTAAATTTAGGACCAATTTATACTATATTACAAGAAAAAATAAGTGGTCCATTATCAGCCATACCTGGAATGGATACATCAACCTTGAAGACTTTCTTAAATAAGTTTGATATGTTCTTAGTATCACATGATGTATACATGTTACAACAGTTGAATTTACTGTTGAGTCATACCCACAAATCAACGGTAAAGAAGCGTGCTTTTGAAGTTATATTTGCTATTTATGCACAACTGTATCAAGCTGTGCATGACCCTTCCAATGGCTATGCTGATCCTCATACCATAGTACGGAGAAAACCGGAAGAAGTTAACAAGTTACTTGTGTAAAGTATTTCAATATAATGTATTATAAATATGTTTGCAATAATTAAGGGGCTAGGGGCACCATCATAGAGCGGCTAGTCAAGTAAAATTAAAAGAATCCTTTAATTCCTAATTATACTTACTGCTGTATGCTATTCAAAATTTATTTATTCTAAAAGTTTAATAATATTTTTAGACAATAAGAGACACGAGAGATGTGGAATTAGTGTTGTAATAATATTTATTAAGTTTAGTTATATTTTAAAAGAATAAATTGTCTTTATTTTAATTATGATTGAGTGGAGGTCTCTCCACACACCTGTAGATATAAAATTTTAGCAGTACATTACATAATTATACCAAGAGTAGGCAGTTAATTTATTTTCTTTTCATTTACCTTATGAACACCTATTAACTTACCTTCGGATTTTCTTCGGCTGCGAAGTTATTCGAGATCCTGCTGGAGTAACGTTTGTGGATTTGCTGGATCTCTGAAACGGGTAAGCGGATTGTAACCATCTTGCCCAGGTGACGCGACCTCCAAGCGTCAAGGTTAGGCAGAACGGTACCGACAGCGCGTTGGCATGCATTTGTGGCGACTCCCACATACAAAGAAATAGAAACATACTAGAGCGCCATCTAACGAAGACACACCGAACTACGGAGTAACTACTAAATGAGAATTGCTAATCCTGTATCGCGATATGAAGAATTCTCTCGCCGATTAGCATATATACAACTTCCCAACATCAACCGTTGGGCCGCGGCCCGCCTGACTCGATCACCTCGCATGGTCGGAGGATCCTCCCTTTGTGCTGGAGGGACATGACACCCATTCCACCATGATTGAAAGCAGCCTTCAAAGAAGGTCCGCAGCAAGCACCATCGTCACCATCGAGTACACTCCCACAGCGATGAGCAGTAATCAGAACATGACACTTTTACAAAGTATTATAGTATGGGTCTACCAGAAATCCCTGCACCATATGTGTAATAAATACTAATAGTGAGTCAACTCAGTTACTTAGAGGAGCAACTCTGGGGCGCGGCACGCAGAAAAGCGGAGTCCCCTTCCTACCCTCAATGTTTGTGATAGTACCGGTTGGCTCCGATTGCTAACCGGTACGCCCGTTTAGGGGTGTCACTCACCAGTTACACGCGTTTTGTGCAACACATGATTACTTGCAATATTTTTATTTTATCGGTCCCATAAGATCGCGCCAATCGTTCGCCATGAACTATATTTGGGGGGCCTCTTGGACACTTCTGTATCCGGTAGATGACATCATTGATTTTGTACCACTCGGTATGGTCCATCCCATTTGGCTTGTAGCTTCGGAGATCTCCCTTTGCTGCGAACTGGATTATGTAGCCACATAAGCGAGATTTATTTGAAGCCTTTATTGTTCACTTTCCAGTCATAACGGGTTTTCATCTTCTCAGAAATCTCTTGCCCTGATTGTCTGACATGCTCATAAATTTCATTCATCTTGTTGCGCAAGTAATTCGAGTACTCCGTTAAACTGCGCGGGGCGTCAGGGTGTATTCCAGTCATCAAATCTGTGGGCACCCGTAGTTCTCTTCCGAAGTTTGCGAAAGCTGGTGTAACAGTAGTACTTTCGTAGACTGCATTCAGTATGACAGAAGAAACGGTTGGATGTGTTTATCCCAATCTCTTTGCCTACTTGCCACTTTTGCCAGATACCGCTCCAGTGTTTGGTTATATCGTTCCACCTTTCCGTCCGATTCTGGGTTAGGTTAAGAGAGAGAAAAGAAAACCCGTTAAGAGGTTATGGTTTTGTGAGCACCCATCACTCGACACATCTCTTGAAATATTTGAGACTCAAAATTTCTTCCTTGGTCACTGTGAATTTCTAAAGGCACTCCAAAGTCGACAGAAGACTTCGTGCACTAATTTATCTGCAACTGTTAAAGTCTCTTGGTTGGAAATTGCGAAGATTTCTGGCCACTTGGTGAAGTAATCTATTACAACCATGAAGTACTTGTTACCACTATCACTTTCGGGAAATGGCCCCGCTTCATCTATTGCAATTCTCTCCCAGAGTGCACCAACATTGTACAATTTCAATCACCCCTGCTACGTGTATGGGGTCCCTTCACGGCAGCACAATTGGTACACTTGCGACACCAGTCTACAACATCATCACGACAATGAGTCCAGTAGAATCTCTCCCTTATCTTAATGTATAGTATTTATGTATAAATATAGATTAGTAGTATTTATGTATAAAAAATATTTCATAGGTTAAGACCTTATTTACTTCTCTAATTTATGTATACATCCTTCTGCTGTGCTACAACAATGTAGACTTTCCCTCCATTCACTGCTAAGGTCCGTCTTTAGCGTCCTTACAGTTACTTTTTACTCTCCTTTACTTCTTGCTTTTCACAGTGCTTGCAGTCTTCGGGACAAGGTCTTTTTGAAAGTGCGTCTGCGTTTCCATTGGATTTTCCACTGCGATGGTAGGCAGTGCTATTAGCTACCCTAATCTTCTGTGGCCTCTCGTTTACACCTCCTTTGCTGCGCTTAGGGCAACTAGACCGAAGATGACCCTTTTCGCCACAGGCGTAACATCTAGGTCTGTACCCCTTAAAACGGTCAAACACAGGTGCCGCCACAATCTTCCGGACCTGATGACACCGATGGTCTTGTCTCGCAGCTTCCACCTCCAAAGCATGGGCCAAGGCGTCTTCGAGACTTCCATAGTGTCCAAGCCTCACAGCAGCTCTAACTTCCATGCCATCGATGAAAACTTGCACCAGATTTTTGCTAATGAGCAGGTGCAGACTGGTAAGCCTTACGGACCCGTTTCTCAACTTCCAGGGCCCATTGTTGCAATTTTTCACCGATGCATTGGACACGATCCTTCAGCTGCGCACGAAGCACGTGCTCCAGATGAGCGTCTCTATATCTTGTCTCCAATGCTTCCAGCAGTTGCTCATAGGTTACCTTCTTACCGAGGGATCTTGTAAGCAGGCCACGAAGATGTTCCATCAAACGGCGGCACTTTGAACCATTGCACCGAAGGAGCAGTGGTTACCGTCGTCGCCATCCTGTCTCTAACTTTGAGTTTCCTTAACGCCTTCTTCAAGTCGGTAATCAGGGTTTCGGCTTCAGTGAGACGGTTCTCGTGTTGAAGAACCTGATCCTTCACTACCTTGAGTACCTTGAGTCACATCGATGCCTTTTAACAAAAGCATCTGCTCCTCCTGACGGCGGGCCTGCTCCTCCTTGTCCCGCTGCAGCTGTTTCTACAAGCGGCGGGCCTGCTCGAGTGGCTTCCATTGCTGGCTGCTGACCCTCAAATGTAGGCAGTTGTGCATCTACAAATCGCCTCTGGTCAGTACCTTGCTGGTGCTGGCTTCTCGTACGTAGCCTTCCGTGTCTTCTTTGGGCATAACCGGCATACTTTTATCCCACTTCTGACACCAAATTGTTACGAGCGGGGTATATAATAAATAAATTTCAAATTCAAATTCAAATTCATTTATTTGCAGAATGTAGTACATACAACAGATGTCAATAATTACAATACTGGTTCAGTACATTCTACCATGACAATGGTGTGCAAAAGGTGTCATAAAGTGCTGCACTAGCAGCTCACAGTCCATACTAGGTCAATTTTATTATTAAAAAGTTCTTCTATACCATATGCACGAATTTATAGAATAAGTGAGACAATAAATAAAGATTTGTCAATAAAATCATGTCAGCTTTGAATATTATTATGAATTAAAGTAATTATATTATATTGTATATTAAAATTGAAATTAAGTGATAAAAAAAAATAGTAAATATTTGTATAGGGCGGATCGCAATTATGTAAATGTTATGTTGAGGTAGGTTCCAAATATTCTTTGACTGAGTAGAAACATTTTTGTGTGAGATAAAATTTAATTTTTTTTTGGAAAAGTAGTGGTTTTCTTTCGTTTTTAATAACGTCTGGTAGCTTGTTAAATATTTTAACTGCCATATAGTATGGGCTTTCGTTCAACATTTTTATTCTTGACGGAGGAAGGTAAAGCCTATTTTTGTGCCGGGTGTTTATGGTGTGGGTGTCTTTTACTTTTGTAAAGGCATCAATATTTTTGAACACAAATATGCATATGTCGAGTATATATATCGAAGGCAGAGTTAAAAGTTGAAATTTAAAAAAAAATGGTTTACAACTCTCCGTGTTATTAATTTGGGCTAGGATTCTTATACATTTCTTTTGCATTATGAATAGTTCACCGCTGTTAACGCTATTTCCCCATAGCATGATGCCATATCGGAGCCACGAGTATGCATACGCGTAGTAAGTAGACAAAGCTGTCTGTGTGTTAGTAGATCGTTTAATTTGAAGAAGGGCGTAAGAAAATCTAGAAAGTTTTGATTTAATGTGCTCGATGTGTGATTTCCAATTCATATGTGTGTCTATTTTCATCCCAAGTAATGTAAATGTCTCAACTTCTTCTAAACGTGTGTTTCTGTACATTATGTTCAATTTTAAAGGAGATTTTTTATAAGATCTGAATTGTATTATTTTTGTTTTAGTTGAATTTATTTCTAACTTGTGATCCTTAAGCCAGTTATCTATTGTTTGAAGAGTGTTTTGTAAAAGAAGATTTGGGTTATTTTCACTTTCGCATTTTAGTAGTATCGAAATGTCGTCCGCAAAAAGTACCGGCAGAGTTTTTTCTTTGTCTAATGTTTTTGGCAAATCATTTATATAAATTAAAAATAACACACAACCCAATACACTTCCTTGGGGTATTGAGGAAGTTATTTGGAGTTCTCGAGATCTGAAGGATTTTATTTCATTTTTGTCATGGTTGTAATGATTAATTTGTACTATTTGTGTCCTATTTTCTAAGTATGATTAAACCATGTTTACCCATGTTTAAACCATGTAAAAGTTAAACCATGTCAAACCATGTAAAAGTTGTCGGTTAACTACTTTATTGCGCTGTATTTACAGACACTCACTATAATACACTATAAACTTACTACAACTTACTTACTTACTTCTTACTTTTATAGAAATTACTATCTATCTCGTTAGTCGCACTAGAAGTACACTCCGATGTTAATTCGCTGTGTCGTAAAACGATATTGTTGTGACGAGTTGGTATAGGGTTTGTTTCAAGTTTTCCTTCTCTTTGCAGTGATGTTGTCCTGCGTAGTTTGCTTGTCCTCCCTTAGTCGGCTCTTACGTCACCCACGCGGTGACGGAATGAATAGAAGTGGTGACGCTCCATTCTTAATCCATCAAACTCATTAATTACATACATTTATTAATTTTATTAGATATAATAAATAAAATCAATAAATATAACTATATTAATTACATATAATTTCATTAATAGCGTGATGGAAAGATGCAGCAATCACATGGTTGTAAGAAGGCAATTTTACCAAATTCTTTTCATCAACTTTAATTACGAAACGAACAATTTTAAACTGTTTTGTGATTGTTTTTTGACAACCCTTGCTCATTTTTAGTCGTGGCAGCCTTGTAGGTATTTAGATGACTATAGGAAAAATAAAGGAATTGACTCACTATTAGTATTTATTACACATATGCCTGCACAACGATACGACCTTCAAGAAAAGAGCGTACCCCCACCTCAAAGATCGGACCTTGTGATTCCTGAGTTGCAGGCGTTCATGGCGTTCACTTTCAATTACCCGTGTCGTTTGCCCACTCTATCATAAAAAAAGATGATCCGTTTGCTCGTTTACCCCCTTACCATAAACAAGAAAATCCCTTTACTAACAAAGATCATTAAAAACCTAGCAGCAATCGTGTTTGATTTGCTATAATTTTTTAAGGAGTGCCGTTGTCTGTAGCCGAAACTCATCATCAGATCTGTATGAAATTTAAATGGGACCATTTTGGATTATACTTCTTTCGAACAAGAAAATAATTTTGACGAAGTTTTGCTCGAACGAATATTGCAGTCGGTTAAAAAAACAACGAATTTTATATCAGAGCTTATATAATTTGTGTTTCTTTTTTAAATCTGGCAGCACATGTAGTTATGTCTTTACTGTCAATGTCACAATCACAGTTCTTGCTATAGTTTGATAATTTAAAATCATTTTAGTTTCATTTCTCATGAATTAGATAAAAAAATGGGTTCTAGACAAATTGTAGAAAAGTCTCTGTCTATGTTAAGGTCTCTCCCAAGAATATCACTTGCCAATATACGTGATAACCCTAACTGCAAAAAAAAAGTATGTAAGGAAATTCCTCAATTTTATTGTTTCCAACATTTTTGTCACATAATTTATTGTTTTTCAGTCAAAGCGAGGCCGTGCGCAGCATGGTGGAGATAAACATGGTGCTGGCAACAAGGGGTCAGGCCAGAGACAGAATTTCATGAGATTAGGTTATGAAACTGGAAATAACCCATTTTATTTGCGTGTCCCTCAAGAACATTATTACAGAGGTCATCAGTAAGTAAAATTTAAAACTTATATTGTATTTATAAATATGTACAATAGCACAAAAAAAAAATTATCTTTGATTCACATAAATCTTAGGTTTAACCTCTGATATGCTGCTTAATTGTACAGTGCTAACCGGTGAAATCACTTTACAGTATTGTGACATATGAGAGGTGTGCCATGTGACAAGTTAATTGTGAGTTAAACTTGTATCCCAGTCCCAGAAGGAACTCCAAATTGATATAAATAATGAGTGTGGTGTCAGCATAAATGTAAACTATTTAAACATCAGCGGTAGGAGTGCATAGTTGTAAATCTTTTACAATAATGAGACAATACAATTAAATACAAAAAGAAAGATTTTTTACCAAGTTTTTTTAAAGTTTTAAAGTTATAAGACAATTCAGTAGAAATTCCTTGAATATCGTTGTATATTTCATTGAAATTGATGATTTAATACTACTGTGTTATAATAATTATTGTGTCTTTATGTTAACCATGTATTTGGCTATAACATATCATTTATATAAGGATGTTTAAAGCCTTGTTGTGGTCTCGTACCATATTGAAATTTAGTGCAAAAAACAGTATCTCGAACACCAAGCTCAAAGTCTATTGAACATGTTCTCCTTCTCTGTCTAAGTAATGTAACACACGATGTAATGTAGAAAAATAAAAAACAAAATTCTTTGCTATGTTTAAAAAAAAATACAGGCATCAATAAAAAAAGAACGAGAAAATCTACACCCTGTGACAGCCTTTGAGCTCCTGTTACTACAAACTTTAACTTATTTTAATTAAAAAATAAGTCTAAATTGGACAATTTTCATTTTGATACTTGCTTAACGTCTTCTTCTGGGACACCTGTATATAGAGGTCCGGTCCATATTGACTCATTAACCAGATAAATATTTTAACATAATCTTATATAATATTAATTTTTGTCACTTTCAGTCTTAAAAGAGAATACCCACCTTTTACTTTACTTCAGCTACAAACTATCATTGACAAAGATTGGGTGGACATATCAAAGCCTATAGATATTGCCAGTATTATTAAATCTGGCATCTATACTTTCTATCCTGACCAAAAACAATTTGGCATTCACCTGACAGATGAAGGGTTGGACAATTTTTCAGCAAAAATCAATATTGAAGTTCAGTGGGCTAGTGAACAAGTTATAGCTGCTATAGAGAGAAATGGTGGAGTCATTACAACTGCATACTATGATCCACACAGTCTGTTTTTACTCAAAAATCCTAAAAAGTTTTTTGAATCTGGCCAGGCTATCCCTAGAAGAATGATTCCACCCCCTGATGCCATTGAGTATTATACAAGTGCTAAAACCAGGGGTTACCTGGCAGATCCAGAGGAAATATCAAAGGAGAGATTGAAACTTGCACAAAAATATGGATATGATCTACCTAACATTGAAAATGATCCAAACAACAATATGCTTTGTGAAAGGAAGGATCCTAGACAAATATTTTATGGTCTGCAACCAGGATGGGTTGTAAACCTAAAGGATAATTGTATTCTGAAGCCAAAGGATCAGGACCTATTACAATTCTTTAATTCTTAAGTCATTTTAGCATTACATAAAGTATAGATGTTAGTACAGTTAATTTGTGTTTAATTTTACACAACCTACAAAAATTACTTTTCTTATAAAATTAAAATATAAAATCACTGAAGCCAAGGTAAGAACGAAAATGGTCTGCAGAATAGTGCAGAAGGTCAAGCTAATATTTTGTGGTAGCCTTTCACATGAAGATGTAACTGTTGTTGTTTTAACAATTATTTTAACAGCATATTCTGTGTCCACTGAAAATGTTAAATTGATGTGCAATAAAATGTGACTATGAGTTAGAACTCCTTTAATGTTAAGCATTTCAATTTGTAAAAGATCTTCATAAGTGTGTAACTCAATATAATTTACGTTTATGCACTATAAACATCATTCAACCTCGAGCCCTCTCCAGTTCATTGAGTGACTCTGATCTTATTTGCTAAGCTTTGGATCAATAATAGAACTGTTTCGCACTAAAACAAAACGGATGTTATGTGCTGGATAAAACAGCATTGAAGTGAAGAATTTATACAGCACATATCATCCGTTTTGTTTTAGTGCAAAATGGTTTTTTATGTGCCTTTCTAAAACACACAGTGTTGAAGTAAAGATCTGTTTGTTATCTGCTGGTGAGTAGGTAATGAGAACAAGGAACACAAACGCTATGTGAATTCCTGTTATAATGTTGTTAAAGTTATAAGTACACTCAACACTGCAATTACTGTCAAATTAAGTAATTATTAGATGAAAAGACAATCACGGAATGTGACAGCATACACTTCAACAATAGTAATTCGAAATGTGAACAAGGTAACAGTTATAGGGGCTGACTAACTGATCTGATCAATAATAACTGATCTGTTCTTTCGAGGCCTGGGGTAGAAGGTGCCATTCTAGTATTGTCAGCACTTGATAGGTGGTCTGCAATTTCCTTCAACCTCCCCGAGAGGTAAGTTTCCGACAGCTTTATATTCAGTTACTCGTTTCCAAAAGCTTTGTTGACAGTTTCAACATAGCAGTGGAGAGAATGCCGCCTTGTTTTTTAATATATGACACTATTGTCCAGTTGCTAGACTGTATCAACATATAAGCACCAACCAAGGTAGGCACATCCTCGTTTAAATAATATTTATATTATTTATGTATTTTTTATATTACAGCTTCAGAGGCCTGGGGTAGAAGGTGTCATTTTCAAGTTGGTAATCTGAGGTCGGCCCATGTCATGCGGTGTTCCACAGGGGTCTGTTCTTGGACGCCTCCTGTGGAACATAGGGTACGACTGGGCCCTTCGAGTTGATTTTCCCCATGGGCTGGGCGAACTTTCAAGAGGCAGCGCGCCTGGCAACCAGGGGAGTCTCTTTAGTGGTCGGGCGCATTGAGGCGCTGTGCTTACGGGTGGCCCTGGATAAGACGGAGGCCCTCTTATTACATGGTCCACCCCCCGGTGCCTCAATCGTGGTCAACTCGGTCCTCGTATAGATATTTCATATGGGCCTGATATTTCATATGAGCACTTCCGACAGCTTGCTCCAAAGTTCCAAACTTTTGCCTAATCTGGGTGGACCCAGTGTCGCAACGAGACGGCTGTACACAGGGGTTGTCCGGTCAATGGCACTGTATGGTGCACCAGTGTGGGCGGTGGCTCTGACCACTCAGAATAGAGCACGGCTTTGGCGCCCTCAGAGGATATTGGCAGTTAGAGTAAGACGCGGTTGTCGCCCCGTTTCGACGGAGGCGTCATGCGCATTGGCAGGAACACCCTCGTGGGATTTGGAGGCAGAAGTGCTCGCCGAAGTATATCGGCGGTCGGCTGAGTTCCGGGGGGATAGCGGCATTCGGCCCCCATCCGAAGAGATAAGCGAGTGGCGTGAGACCGCTCGCCCAGCCACGATGGCTCGTTGGTCGTCCCGGCTGGAGGCTCCACGTGCTGGGTTTGCCGTCGTGGAGGCGCTCCAGCCGGTCATCGTCGAGTGCTTATTGTACTCATCGGAGGGGACCTCTCGCTACCGGCCGTTATACGCTCCATGGCCGGTAGTGACAGATGTTTTACCGCGGTCGTAGGCGGGAGGAGGCGGCGGAGAGGGCCCGGGAGGATAACCTCCACTCGAACCCAATTTGTCGCCGGCGAACCGGGCGACGGAGGCGCGCTTATCAACGCCTCATGCCGCCTCCTCATGTGTGACCGCCGGTGGACGGGACAGGTTTTCTTCTCCACCCACCATAACTGCCAGCCGCGAGGAGGCGACGTCCGCGTGTGCCGGATGTCGCCGAGATTGTACCCGAATATGGTGCCCGCGCCCTTGCGGGCAGGCATTTCCAAAAGCTTTGTTGATAGTTACAACATAACAGTAGTAGAGAGATGATACTATTGTCCGGTTGTCTGACTGCATCAACATATGGGCAAGGCATAAGGCAACAAGGCGTCTTTCTGTGATTTTATGGTAGCAAAGACAGTAAAGCTTTGTCATCAATTGTTTGAAAGCAAAGTGCCACCAAGTTAGGACCCTGCACCTGCGGCATCTGCTAGGTAGCGAGTGACTCGCTCTTTTTTTAAATAGAACCGACTTGTGATCTATCAGTTTTAGCCACCAGTTTAGTTGTTCTATAACATTTGGATTTAGCGATCTTAAAGACAGTCTTATAGGAATAGAGATACGTTAGCTTAGGGTGCTCCTTTGAGATTTGGTACTGACTTTATAGAAGTCTATTTTCCCACTAGTAAATTCAGCCTACTGTTTGCTCTGTTTAATAGTCCAGCTATTCCAGCTGTTGTACAGGCAGAATAGACCTTCAGTGGTTAATATGCCAGCGTAAAGTCTGAACGAAAGTCAGTTTCCGCAACTTGACCTTCCAAAACGAAGCACTGGATGTACTAAAAGGTAATTCTCGAGTACATACGAATTCTGGAACCCTGAGCCTACAAGCTGAAAAGATCTATAGCGCGGGGGAGAGGCCAAAGGGAGTGCTGTTATCTCCAGATTTGTCGTTAGGTACGATTTGTAAAAATTATCATTCATCATCATCACATATCATCTCTCCGTCTCTCGTCTCCGTAGTCAGCAAATAAAAATAAGCCTGTTTCAGATCTATTCTGTGAGTCAGGCTTTGTTTTATAGAAAATGCATGGTATCTATTGGATTTCAAATGAAAGGGCCTTGTACACAAACAGATTTAGACACCCGAGGTCGAAAATTGGCCCTTTAATCCTAGTGTCGCGCCAGAAACATCTAGGAAAAATACACTGAACTGATCACTGAAGGTATTCTCAAGAGATATGACTGCAGTCTGATTACACTTGTCATCTGGAATGGCCTACAAGTCAAGTTAAGATACTTCCCTTCGCGGCACTGTGCGACTAACGTGTGACCTCGTATGCTAACAATTTTAATATTGTTGTCTGTGCTTTTATGTGACTAGTTCCCGGTTTGCGGGCGGCTAAAGGTTGTGTATAGTGTTTCTAAAGAATTTCAGTAAGTTTTATTGTTTTCTAAACAGAAATATAGTTAATATTATTTTAACGGGAATTAACGCGATCTCTTATTTAGGGTATTTACAGAAATATAGTACCGAATTCTTTTATTACGACTATTGGTGAGTAAATTTATTTTCTTACTAAAAGTGGGTAGGTGGTATTCTTTGTTTACATTGATTTTTCTCTGCGTATTGTTTATTTTCAAGCTCGTTTTTTTTTAAATTGTTGATTGGTGTGTCTTTGTTTGGCTATGTCGGTCGTTAGCGAGTTGCCGGATCCCGGAGGTACAAGTGAATTTCTAACACCAACCGGGAAAAGGACATTTAACGAAATGTCACCTACGGATTTCACGCCGAAAGACAAAAGCCGTAAACGCATTATTAATTCGGACTTAAGTGAAAACGTTTCGTCTCCTACCGGTCGTGATAACTGTGGGGAGTAATTACTTACTGTGTGTAGTGTATTAATTACTGTGACTTAGTGTCACAGGCCACCGATTACTTAGCAAAAATTAATGAATTAGTTAATGATCAGGGATCTCGGATGAATGTAGGTAATAAAACGGCGATTATGGATATTACTCAACGAATTACCGGTATCGTATCAATGTTAGCAATAAAATCCTTTAGCAACGAAGCGAAGTTAGCGAATTTTGAACGACAAATGGAGGGTACCGCAACTCAACAAACGAGTTTAACGTACGCGGACAAACTTAAGCTTCGCTTACCACCTAAATCTGCCCCGTGCCCGGTACCTACTGAAGCGCGCGTTCCTAGGCCTTGTGTTATTGCCTATCCCACTATGGAACGCTTAGCGGACTATGCGACCTCCTCAGCAACGAAACAAGCTCTCATGAAGGCTATTAAACCAAGCGATGAGGGTTTCCAAATTGTAGGCGTTAAAAAAACCTCTAAGGCAGGCGTCGTGTTACGTGTAGCTAACGAACGGCAGCTTAAGAAACTGGCATCTGTAGACGTCATTAAATCAGTAGGGTTACGATTAGAGAAACCGAAAGGCCGAAAGCCCCATGTAATTGTAAAAGACGTACCCGGTTCTATGCAAGATCGTGCCTTCCTAACAGCCTTATGCCGTCAGAATATCAAGCACGAATTAAAATTAAGAAAGAACGATTTTATTAAGTCAACCAAAATTGTTAGGCATTGTAAACTAGAAAATGGGCGTTAATGGATAGGCTTAGAATTGGAGGCAGCAGTTCGGAAACATCTAGCCAACACAAAAGATAAACTTTATATAGACTGGGCCACTTGTAGATTCATAGACGATATAGAAGTAGTTCGTTGCTTAAATTGTCAGCAATTCGGTCATGTACAAAAGTTTTGCACAATTAAAACCCCTACTTGTGCTAATTGCGCCGCCGCATACGAAACGCGAGCTTGTCCAGATAAAGACACACCAGTGCAGGCGGTTCTAAAAACCATCTGACCATCGATGCGGCTCACACGACTGTGCCACATACAAATTAAAACTGGAGCAGTTAATATTAAATACCAATTACTGAATAGTTCAATTCAGCTTAAAA